ATCAAATTGCCCAATCATGCTTCTTACAATCTGGGGAAGAGTGCAAAGCAAACTGGCCCCGCATAGATTATTAGTGAGGACTGGAATGCTTTTTGTAGAGTGCGCGCGTGTGTGTGTGTGTGTAAACGCGCCGAACCGTAACCGGTAAACATGTTTATTGGTAAATTAATTCAATCAGTGGACATTGACCCTGTGGATTCAAACCGGGGGCAGAGTTTGTAAACCGAAGAGCAGGAATAGGCCTAATTCCAGATGCAGATGTGTGGTCGTGGCTTCAGAATCCACAAGGCCTACAAGCACAATGTCAGGCCGTTTGACTTTCTCATCATGAGCAGGAAGGACAGGGATGATCAATATATGATTAATGTTCAAGATGGATTCACATCTGCAGGGACAAGTGAGGCCCGCAGCTGTGAACACGCGGTAAACACACGTGGAAACAGGTGATGATCATTTACTTCTGCTCCTCTCAGACCCGCTCTGGCTTTGTAAAGTCCGCAAAGAAAGCCGGATCATAGCGCTTCCTTCCTGTGTGTGTCTTCGCGTCTCCACCCCTTCATGAATCTCCTCTCCAGGCCCACTCCCCCTCCCTCCGAGGCATAATTAATTGGAAGAACTGAATTTCACACACGAATTATTCACGAATCTATCGATCAATATTGAACACCCAGGGCCTTTCTCTTAACCTCGCTTGGTTTGTCGTGAAGCAAAGAATATTAATGTCATCAATGAGAAAGAAATGGGCCTAAGTTATACCGTTTCCAACCGAGCAGCAAGGATAAGTTGAAAAATCCCTCATTAAGGAATTTGATAGTTTAAGAGAAAAAGACTGCGTGGCCCCCAAGTCGATTCAGGAGGCCCTTGAATTGCCATTCATAGGGATTAACCGGGCTTCTGCTTTGCATCCATGGGGGAAAATATTACAATAATATTATAGTGAATAAAAATGTTTTTAAAAAGTGAACCAAACACGCAGTAAAACAATGAAACCCGGGGATGAACATGCGTGTGTTAATCAGCCTTTATATGTTTGCAAGGAGCATGAGGGATCCATTCAAAGTAGGTCAGCTCCCGTTCACAGCTCCATACAGCCAGTAATAGAAATCTCATTTCTCACTGCCCGTGTAGCAGCAGCAGGGTGTAGCCTACACCTCAGAAAAAAACACTCAACACCAAAACAGGATTTCTGCTCTTGTCCGGTTGCTCTTTGTGCATGAGTTTATGTCCGCCTCTCCACTCGGTGCCTACTGTAGCTCTAAAAGCTGCAATGATCGATTTTTTTTTCTTTTCTACGCTGAGCTTGGTTCAGTAATCAGGGCCCCCTTCCTCACCGATCGATCGATATTGATTACTAAATCCAGCGCCTGTAGCAAAGGCAGCGCACTATGGCGCCCCGTGCAGCCGGGCCACGGCGAGAGCGACACCTGCCGACAGAAACGGCACAAAGCAAGCGGTCGATGAGGAGGCAGGACGTGACTCTCTGGTGGAGAAAGAAGCTGGGACTGTCTGAGCTTGCTGTGGAGGCACATTAAGAGAGAAACACTTCTCCCCTGGCTCACTCTGGAGCCAATGTAGTTCTTGTACAAAAACAAAAAAGAAATCTAGATTTGGGATGTTTGGGCATTTAAAGAGAGAAATGTGAAAAATGTTATTAAAATACTGACCGGCTGTTTCCCAAACATTTCTCCCACAAACAAATCCGTTCTGTAAATAGACAGATCCAGTTGATTTTACTGCCTGTAAATACACATAGTGGCAGTGAGACTATTCATTAAAAAACATAAAAAATAACAATGTTGCTTATAAAAAGGTCCTGTGATTAATTTTCAATATAAGAGAAAAAACTGTATTTATGTAAAAATCATAAACTTCACATTATAAGGTACGGCCAGTGTGTGTGTGTGTGTGTGTGTGTGTCTGTGTGTGTGTGATAATTACCTCTACAAGGTCACACATCACAGCAGGAATACTTCAAACTCTGGAGGGAAGTAAAGGTATTCAGGACAACAGGAAGCTGCATGAAATAAATAGAAACTCAATGTGGACATTTTGAGATAGTAATTAAATTAACTGTCTTGCTCCAGCAGGAAAAAACAGAGGAAGTTATTCTAAAATCAAGGTATAATATTAAAAAAACTGTTTACCAATACATATTTGTAGTTAAATATATTTTACATATTAATCATGTAAGTCAAAAGTTGCATAAAAGTAATAAATCTCAAAAATTTGTTAAATAAGTAGTGTTTTCACTTTTTACAATACTCACAGTGAATTCACATTACCCCAGCACTGTTTTAGAGCAGATGTTTAGTGAGGTTGAGGTCTGGGTGACTGTGGAGGGAAAGCAGTGCTTGTCAGCGCTACTCGCTGCTCCTCCTTGGTCTTCAAACAGGTTCCTGTTACAGAGCCTCTCTGCACGTATAGGCTCTTTGTCCTGCTGGGAAACGAATTCTCTTCCACACAGGTTACAGCCAGAGGGGATGGCATGTCTTTGCTGAGTAGAAGTGGTACAGCTTTGGTTGGGGGAGCTGATGCAAGTCACCAAATAAGAAGAGCATCCTCACATGTGGACAATTTCTAAAATATTTGCTCATGTCCGCTTTGTGATTACAAGCGTAAAGTTGAGACAAGAACCCAACCATCTTTTACTAACTAAAGTACGTGTTATCAGCTGATTTTGTTTCTTGGATGCAGATGTCGTTCTGTCTTTGTAGCAATGTCAGCTTAATATGTTGGTTGCTAGTTATAGTCCCTTTAGGTGACCACACCAAGTAAAAGTGTATGTTTTGCTTTGGAATGTCACATTATAGACATTCAATTAAACTGCAGTATGGTGCTGGGATAAATTTTCACCACTGAGGAGAACAATTTGACCTCAGATGGTTACATTTCTGGTTTAATTTAATCTCTTCTGACACTGGCAGGGTTAACTGACAAACATGATTAAACATTGATCAATGCTAAAACACAATTATGTATGAACGGCATGCCGACGTTAGTCCCTGGAAACGCTGGATAGTTTCTTGCTTGGTATGTGGTTGTAGGATAGTGGCACTCGAATGATATGATATGCAAGTGCTAGTTATGTTGTTGTATTTAGAGCACCGTCGTTAAAGAAAAAGACAAAACACTGAAGCTTTAATTAATGGTAAGTCTTGCTCGTCTTATAGCATCTGACCTACTGAGACTCAACTCACTGTGACAATGTGAATTCCAAATGATAAAACATCCTCCTTCTCCTCCTCATCATCATCACCATCCTGACTACATTTAATCCCATAATAAATCAAAGCATTATATATGACGATATACATACTGTAAATACAAGCATGCATTTAGACAAATTTGTACGTGGCATATTAGCATGTGTGCATTTGTGTGATGTATATAGCTGCAGTGTTGATGTGAAATATGAATATGATGGATGGGCCCATGTGCAGGTTAGACATCTGTAGTAAACAGATTGGACTGCAATGGCTGATCAATGGGCTCTGTTCCACTGTAATTAGACACACAGCGCCATTGCTTGGCTCCAGCCACTTCAGCATAATCACACCGCCACCCCCCCTACCCTCCCCAAACGCACACATCCCCATGCTCATGCACACACACACGTAGGACATAAGAGAAAAAAAAAATCTTAATTGTGTCGAGACACTCACGCACACAGCATGAGAGTGAGACATTACTGAAGGCGAGTATGAAAGTATCAGACAACACTGACGGCAGCAGGTGGAGACCCAGGGAGGGATGGCATCTCTCTCTCTCTCTCTCTCTCTCTCTCTCTCTCTCTCTCTCTCCAATTTGCTCTTGTTTTCTTGAGACAGTAGGGAAGCTGAGAGGGACACACAGTCCGTTCTGGCAGGATTCGATCCTCAGCCAGCAGGGGAACATGTGGCTGCAGAGGTGGTGCCTTAACCTTCCACACACAACTCCTCCTACATCATCTCTGGGCGCCAATTTCTGCCTTTTTACACTGCACCTGTCTGCTGCTTTTCCACCCGTCTCCTTCAAATACTTTGAGTTACAACACACTTACCCACAATACAACGTTCTATTAACTATTAATTTCTGTGTTCGCTACCTACAACCCCACCATCCCCTCAGACCCCCTCCCAAACGTAAAAGAGTACACTCAGTGTGTTTTCTTTTGAAAATTGCTCTGCGTATGGGAAGGGGCTCATAGCAGCCGGTGCATGCACCTCTCGAGTGTTTGTGTTTGGGGAAGGGGGCGGGGTGGTGGTGGAGTGGGTTATAAATACCCTCTCAGAGCTCAATAGAGTGGGCTCCAGTGGGCTCTGTTTGAAGTAGCAGACTGTAGACCTGCTGGGGGGGATTCTGACCTCAGTCCCTACAGAGAACCCCCCAATTCCTACAGCAAAGTCGGTCAATATCTCTCTTTCTCCTTCACTCGCCGCCCCTCCTTCCTCTTCTCAGCTCCTCTCTTTGGCTCCTATACACACACACACACACACTTTGTCTTACTCCTCCACTTTTTCTGTTCTTTTCTCTGCAACCTTTTCTTTCCCTGCATCTGGCCTTCCTCTATCTCTCATTTCCGCACACACACCCGCACACAAAATGCTTACTTTTGTGCAACAGTCACTCAGTCCCCCATTGCGACTCAAACTGCATTAATATTGAATCAAACAGCAGTGTCTCCAGCTAGCAGGCAACAGCCAGTCCCCCCAACGCCCCCCTCCCCTCCTCGCCCCATCTTTCTCTCACCGCAGGCTGGCTCCCTGTCTGCACTCTGCAGGATGGAAGGAATATTCCCACTGGGAAGGAGGCATGGATTAGCTTTAAATCAACTTTAATATGGCAATAGAGATGGAGCTGTAGAATATCTGCTTGTGTATAAACTAGTTTTTATGTGTTTAAGTATTGGCTAATGATACATTTAGTTATTGTACTTCCCTCCACCTTGTGTCTTTGTGATCTAATCATGAAAATAATTACTTTTGTATATTTACCTTGCTTTGTGTTTCCTTTCCCCTCTTTGCCTCCCACTCTCATCCCCATCCCTCCCACCGCTGCCATCCACACCAAGCCTGCAAGCGCAAAGAACAGGAGCAACACAAGGACCGCAACACGGCGCCCAAGAAACAGCGCCTGGTCTTCACCGACCTGCAGCGGCGCACACTCATCGCCATCTTCAAGGAGAACAAGCGTCCATCCAAGGAAATGCAGATCACCATCTCCCAGCAGCTCGGCCTGGAGCTCAGCACCGTCAGCAACTTCTTTATGAATGCACGTCGCCGCTGCGTGGACCGCTGGCACGACGACCATGGTGCCAGCCCCGGGCAGCCGGGCACATCCGCCACCACCTTCTCCAAGGCCTGAGAGGAGGAGAGGACCTTCAGAAGGCCGAGGAACCAGGCTGGAACAACAGGCAACATGGAAAATTGGATGAGAAACCTGTCTATAACAACCCTACCTGGCCTGGACCCTCTGAATGTGTCCTCTGCTCAAAAATCCTTTGTGCCATGCAATCATCTTTTTTGTCAGTCAGAATTTCAAGCTCTCACCTGAAACAAGCATAATCTAAAGGTGAATTGTGAAGTCAGGTCCACTCTGCATTACTCACATAAGGACAATCATTGATTCTGTCTTTTTGGAAAGGAAATCATTTTTATGGCATCGGACAAAGTTAAGAGACACCAAAGATATGATGTTTTTGTTGGACGGTACCAGACATATGTCGGCCTCCTTCACCACCCGAGTAGCCACTGATGCGGCTTTTCCTCCCAACTCACCTCCTTTGTGTCTGCCTCTTTTAGTCTCTCTCTCATCCCCTCTACGCCGGCAGACGGAAGCAACAAGGGCGAAAGTACGGCAATAAATCTGACAACAGAACAGCACATAGCCTTATTATCCAAGCCCCATCCTGCACACACAAGGCCGTCATAAAGAAAATAACGCAGCCTATGAAAAAAACAACAAGGCTTTCCGATTCTCCGCCTCTACCTCCCCCCTCCTCCGGTAGTCTCCTTCATTCCTCGGCCAAAGGTATTCCCTGATGGCCAGCCATTTCAGAGAGCAGCTCAGCCTGAATATACGGCAAACTAATGAATTGAAAAATGAATCGATGCAGACAGAGAGAGCGGGGCCTTGACCCCTCCTGAAGGTGAAACTCAAGACGCTCCGCAGTAGATACTCAGGTCTTCCAGGCCCAGGTCTATATTTTTTGCACAGATGTTGGAGGCCTGTAGGGAGACATGTCATTGTTACTCTTAGCCTGAGCCTAGAGTCTGTGTTTCTCTGACTAAAGGGAGAGGCGGGTGAGATGTCTGGACATGCTCTTTGTTCTGCTGGGATCTTTTCCTCTGATCAATAACTGAGAACCAAGCGACAACAACACGCTCGGGCATCCAGCCAACTACATTACAGCTGCATATGAAAAGCAGAATGTAAGAGGAGCACACGGAACCCACTGGAGATGGGGACACAAAGGCCTCATAGCAGCAGCAGCAGCAGCAGCAGCAGCAGCAGCAGCAACAGCACACCTCTCCCTCCCAGGTTCTGCCTGTGCTGGCAGGGCAACAGTGCCCCCTGCTGTCGATAGCAGAGACCTGTATCTAGCAGAGCAATGGGGCTCAGAGTGGAGGAGAGGGAGGGAAGAGCCACTAGATGCTGAGGAGAAGTCATGGCACAACACATTCAGGCCCACACAGCTCTTTGAAGGCGGATCAATAGCTAACCATTATCCTATTGTTGTTCCTCATCCAACCAGCACTGGTGAAGCCGGAGGAGGGGGATGGTTAAACTGAATGCTGAAAATGCAGGGATTTAGCAAAGGCAGGGATTTGTTTAGCCAATCCGAATCTTACAGAAACCGCAAAATACAAGTACAGAAATTACACAAAGAGGGTATAGAAAAGTACAACAGAGTAAAAAGTAACAGAAAGGCTTACTGAGACAGACACATTTGATTATTTCGGGAGGTTTCATATATTGTCAAATCATTCTTCCATCCTTTCATCCAATCTGTTTGCAAAAAAAGGCTCTCGACAGATGTGATTCAAACCAATTCTCCTGGCTAATTCCCACACAAGGGTTATCAGAAGCTAACCCAAAGCTAACCACCACACCCAGCTGTCAAAATGCTACAATAATTAGTGCCAATGCTTACTGCCTTAATGCGAATCAAAGAATATGGTACTAGGGTTCACACACAGCGACAGTGTGCCCCACTGATGACGGGCGGTGTGTGCCATAGCAACCAACAATCAGCTTTTAACTGAATTAAAATATACTTTTTTAGTAAAAAAATGGAAAAAAAGAATCAGATTTTAAGGCATACAATAACCAAACCTCAAATGACAAGATACCACACATACAGTATGTGTTACAAATAGAAAATGTCTCCAACACATAACTGGACACATTTTGAAGAATAAAACTCTCATTCTATCTTTGGTTCTCTACCTCCTCTGTCCCTCTAACCCCATTGCCCCCTTCTCTTTCTCTCTTCCTCTCTATATTGATGCGGGTATTTAATTAGTACCATAGACACAAAGTTTCTATTTCTTGTTACTATTGTGCTCTGTTGTGCTTAAGTAAGGCACCTTGTTGATAAATCAAAAACAAAAAAGGAAGGACTTTTTAAAAGGAAAAAAAAGAGGGATGCAAGGACCGAGGCCAATGAAGGACATATTTTTTTTTGCGTTCTATGTGAATATAGACTCGGACGAGACATCTACACATGAGAAAGAGAGAAAAAAAAAAGAACAACAGGGAGCTGCTGAAGAGAAGAATAAATGACGGACACTCTCTCTTTTTTGGCATTTCATGTTGGAACTGTGGTACTCTCAGCCCCCTTTAAGCTGAGCCCCACGGATGGGGCAAAATGGAGGGGGACAATACATGACCTCCAAATGTCCTGGCTGATTCAGTGTGTTTTATTGGAGGGTGGGTGGGGGTAAAGCTCGGGACCCAATAGATATCTGTATGGTCTTAAGATGCAACTGTAGCATTTCCAACAATGTAGTCAGATTAGCGGTGCAGATTAGATAAGAGATGGACATTGTAGAGGAGTTGATTGAGAGGTACTGACAAACTTCACGTTGCTGTAAGCAGTGAGTTAACGTCACCAAAGGATGATGAGCTAAAATCGATTTGTAGTATACAGTTCAGTGAGCATAGGTAAATAGCTAGATTCAGCTCTAGGTATTAGGCTGACAAAATGACATTTGTTTGTAGTGAGAACCAATGTGGCTACCTCACTAAGCTGAGTGGTTTGTGAAACCGCCACTAATACCAAAGATACTGCAGCCTACCAGTCCCAAACTGCCTAGGGGGACACACAAACCAAAAAAAAAAAGAACACGAAAAAGCCCCCCCTCTTTGCCCAGAACCGTTACAGACACACTGACGAAATAACACACACACATGCACATTCGTACTAACAGCGCAGTCAGACTGCATCGTGCCACATAGGAGGAGGTGGCTGCCTTGCAGACAGAGTTGAGTGCCTTTTCCCTTCAACCACGGGTGGGACTGCACTGGACACACACACACACACACACACACACACACACACACACACACAGCCAAGCGTGTGCATGCATATAGCTGCACAGCCATTTATAAACATGCACTCACATTCAGACAATGCACCCATAATTGGATGGACAGAAAGGGGGGCCAAAGAGAGGGACACAGACGGGGCTGTGTCAGCATTTTCTCCTATATTGACTTTCCATCTTGATACACTAGAATACAAGCACTTTATCATGTAGAAAGTCTATAAAACATTTTCTATACGCTATTTATTTGAAACAAAATTATATGTTACTCCTTAATCTGTCAGTCTTTGTTACTGTATCTTCTAGTAGCTCACAGCCTTTGTGTTTAGATTTTTTTTTTCTCGGCCCGGTGTGCTTAAGACTCTCAGCCACTTTACCTCTCTCGCATCAGAGATATTTTTGTGTACCAGAGAAAGAGAGGGGTAAAATGGCAGAGGCTTTAAGCGCTCAGAGGGCTGCTATTGTAAAACGTTCCCACTAATGTCTCTTTCTCTCTCTCCACTGCGTGCAAGCACAGAGGCTGCACTAGAAAAGTGTGGAAGTCTCACTGACAGTTTATAGACACAAATTCTCTCCTCCCTCCACCTTGTCTGTCCAGTCGACCTCTCCCCCTGGCTAGTGCTAAGACTCGGTAGGCGTGTGTTGACAATTAATTCTGAAATACCTCAAAAACCTTTCATGTAAACTTTATGTAATTTAGACTGAAAATAATAATGCTAATGATAACAATGATTATGAAACTATGATACTATGATAGTTAGTTTTGGAACTTGTGACTTGAAGCTTTATACTGTTAAATTCCTTTTTAATTGTTTGCTCATTTTTCTCGTATGTTCTCTTGTTTGTTTTTGCTACGGCATGTACTTACTGTTTTCATAAAGGAAAAGACATTGTGAATGTTTCTGTGGAGGGTTACATGAGAAAAGAGGAGACAGAAGAGAAGGCTAGAATAGAGAGAGAGAGGTGCGAGAGCTACTCACTTTAGATGTTTAGTTTAAAGCTCTCTCCAAGGTGGGTAGATTTAAAGGAAAACAACAATGAAAAAAAAAAAAAAGAAATGACTAAAATATAATTTGGGATGAATTCTAAAGCAAAAATCTGATGTTAAACCAAAGGAGGAATAACCTTTTACTCATTGTTAGCTTTCTTCTGCCTTTAAGTTGTCTTTTCTCTGAAAAAAAAAAACAATTTCACAGTTACTTTTGAAGGTTCCTGGGTGTGTTCAAGTGCTCCTGATGTTCTTAGAATATTAAAGACCAGCACCTCCTATTGAAAAGAAGGTGCGCTTTTTTTCTTTTGTGCATGGATATTGTATAACTGTATAGAAACCAACAGGAATGACCTGTGATTTTGTGGGGAGAGGAGGAGGATGGAAAGATTTGGGAGTGGGTGGAGAAGGGGTGGGGGATATTTTGGTTATCAAAACAGAAAAAAATGGGTGGGAGGATTTGGGTTTTAGGCGTTGGAGGGGTTCTTGTTTTTAGAATTTCCGTCACTGTTGGATTCACTGGTTGTGTGCATGTGTTGTTGCAACCCTTCCCCTTTCCCCATGTTTCTTTGATGTATATAAATCCAGACAGTAGGGGGCAGTGTGTGCTGGGGGAGGTCAAACTCCTCTCCTCCCAATCAATAGCATTCAATCTTCATTCCTCAGCTTGTGGTCCTGACTCGGGTCCTGAAATGTGTGTCTTGCTTTTCCAAAGACAGGCTGTTTACTTGGAGTTAATCAGAGGGACACACACAGGCCCGAGCGGCCTTGAATATACCTGTATGTCTGTCTACATGCTTTTCTTCAATCTGTGTATGTGTGTTCATTTGTACCTATGTGAAAGAAAGTGTTTCTTTTTTATGTTCCTTTACAATGGGTTGCAATATTTGTCATGCGAAAATTTAAAACCATTTCTTACTGACTGACTGACCAACCAACCGCAGTACCATCTGGCAACTGATAATCTAACCCAAAATGTCGTCAGCATTTACTGTCAAACAGCATATGTGTGCGTCTTTCCACTGTGGGGATCGACGGTTGCCAATGGGACTGATGTAGACACCCCCAGTCACACTGTGCTCTCCCTCTTCTGTTACCTGTTAATCAATCAGAACCAAGTGTCTTTGTGATGGTAGAAGACAATCAGTTTCAAAACAAGAAAAAAGGTAGAGAGAGGGCAGGCCAGTGGGGAGGAGGAAGGAGGACGGAAGAACAAAAATCAAGGGAAAAGAGGCTCTCTGAATTGTGACGAGCTGTAGTGCCAGACTGCCAAACGACTGCCCCACCACACCTCCACTCTCCAAAACATCCATCTTCCATCACCCATCCATGTTCAACCTCAACATGACTCGGTTACACACCCTGAACCAAAACTCATTAGACATTTTAAAGTCATTCCCTCCTCATGCCCTGTCACTTTTCACCCTCCTGTACTCCTAATGCCACAATGTAGTGCACTGCAGGAGTAGAAAACAAGAGCTGTGGTGCAAAGACCATATTTCCCATCACCCGCCACAATTTCCTGCTAATATAATGATGATGTAACCAACCGCGAGGAATAAAAGTGGCTCCGGTTGGTGGCTTTTGCACAGAGAACTATGCAAACACCTGACCCCCCCAATCTTAATCGTTGCTGCTGGGTCAGAGTGTACAACCCTCAAACCCACCCCCCTCCCTTCCCTTGACATTTAGACACTCCCGCTCACACTTTGACCCTCCCGCCCTCTGAGCGGGCAGTGAATTCCCCAGTCACTCAGGGTACAGTAGAGAGTGGCTGAGGAGAGAAGAGCACTACAGCACCCCATGTTTCACCAGACTGATGTCGTACAGCTTTACATGAATGCCCCAAACTGCCATTAACATCAAAATGGAGTCCATGTTGATGTTTGGAAGCGGATCCTCCCCGCTCATGGCTCCTTTGTACTACAATGTTAGACCGTCTTTGTCCCCAGCGCCAAGGAAGGGCCACAATCAATGCAAAGACACTTACATTGTACTTACTTAAGTTTACAAAGTCGTCTGGAGATGGTGGATTATATTGCACTCGGACAGAAAAACCCACAAACAAACAGGCACACGCTGGAGAGGGTGAGTCTGCCTTTTGAGAGTGTTTGCTGAAACCAAAGATAAAATGAAAAGAAGGTAAGACAATCTGGCTACCAAACCTAGAAGACAATGTTCAGCTCTCTGGGCTGCTCTACGGGTCCTGTGATTTACCGGCCATGTGGATATTCCACCTATTGCACTTAAACACACACGCACATACACACACATATATATATATATATATATATATATACATACACACATACATATACACACACTGGTGTAAACTCCCACACACACCTCCACCCACACAGAAACAAGGGATAAACCCAATCATGCTGTCTGGTCAGAAAGCCTCTTTTCCCTCCCCCCACTGCAGAAGCCGGAGAGCCTGTGAAGGACTTTTAGTTTCACTCTAGTTGAGACTTTTGAGAAGGAAAAAAATCTGAGTAATAACTGTTACAGAAAAATAAAAACTTAAAAGGATAATATGGGTAAAATTGCGTGTTTTGAAATAAATTAACAAATAAAACAATTGTAAAACAAAGCGGTGCTGTTGGTTTATTGTGTTTGGATTGATCTTCAAAGGAAATCCCCTGAGACCCCAGCAGATGGAAATTTGATTTTTTTCCACAACAGTCTCAAACAACAAAGATCAGAGATATTCATACAAAGGTAAACAGTCTATGTAAAGACAATACACAAGATGTATAGTACATAATGTATTTTGTACATTCTGTAATTTACTTAATTGGAAAGTAGTAGCTATACGAAAGATGAGTGCAGGCTCTATTAAGAATTGCCCACAAAGACTCAAGAACAGACATATAATGAATCATCGTTTCAATTCTGTTAAATTAATAATCCATATGATTACATACTTTCCTATATCAACATCCTAAATGTATCAGTCATTATTAATGAGCCATTTGGTGGTTCACTGTTGTCCTTCATTTGAATTTGGCCTTGTGTTGTCATTTGTGGTCACCTTCTCATCCACCGGCGCCGCCGTGCTGCGAAAGCAGGTCCCTGAAGTGATGAGGCGTCCAGGCCCGGCTCCCTGAGAGAGGGCATAAGACGAACGGCGAAGAGACATTCCTCTTATCAGCTGGGACCTCAGCTCTACTGGCTGACGGGATACACTGTGGACCTACATCACAGCCAGGTGAGAGGGACTTCAGTGAGCATTACCGCTGATGCTTTGTTTTTATAGCAATTAAACTTCTAACTTGGTAAATGGGGAACAACTCACCCCATGTAAGATTAGAAAACAGGTTTAGTATTCAAGCTCAGCCTTCTTAAAGCTCCAAAATAAAATGAAATGGCAACCAAATTCAGAATCATCTTAAGTTGGTCCTCAAGTCAAACACTTGTGTTTTTTAAATGGTCAACAGCAGTGAGCACAGTTTCCTGTCAGAACCTGGTAGGATGCACACAACTGAAGAATTATTACTGAGAGAAATCCTGAAAAAATTATGTAGCAAGTGGGCTTTTTCTCCAAAACACCTGATTAAGGTTGTCTGGAAGCATTTTATAGATCTTTAAAACTCTTAAGTCTTAAACAGTTTGGAAAAGGGTTGAGATGGGTGTATGGGTACTAACTTTCTGTGTTCTTAGTTGTCCCACCAATTTCAATAAATTTTTTTGTACCAACATCCAGGCATTAGTGAAGGTCACTTTACTTTTGCATTCAGATTCTCTCACCTTGTGTTTGTCATGGATGGTGAGGATGACATTAAGAGTACGGGCAGTCATTGAGGGCAAAACAGCCGTCCACGCAGCGAGCAGAGCTGTGAGCCATACAACTGGATCGATGAAGGCCATATCAGAGGCACCTGACGAAATGCACAGAATAATCAAACCTGTTCCCAGGTATAATGATAGAACATCAGAAAAATAGGCGTGCACTGAGATGAGAAGAAGTGTACCGAGAAAGTAATAGTCACTGGGTGATCTCTCAAACAGGCGAGTGTTGTGGGTGATCCTGGTACAGATGAAGAACATCACCATAGAGACACACACAGCTGCTATGTTGAACTTCGTCCAGTATCTGGTCACCAGCAAAATCTGAAAGACAAGCACTGTAATCAGAGGAGAGTGGCATATCTGGATTTACAGTATTGTAGCTATCAGCGAGGAAATTATTTAAAAAAAATTGCTTTAGAAATAAAATACAGCTGAACAATGTATTAGTATTTCCCAGCCAACTGTAAAAAAAAAAACAAATTAACACGACACAGGTAGAAATGACAATCATGTGGGCTAACAGAAATGGTCTAGATTAGTTTTGAATAGAACAGACTGGAATAAAATGATGGTACCAAAATAGAAACAGAGCAGAATAGAACATAAATAACAGAATAGATTAACTGAATGGCACAGGACCAAACACAGTGAATACAAGCTGTCAGACTCATCAATGGACTGTGCCCCTTCTGACTAATACACTCACATCACACCGGCACACCCTCTAACCCCTATATATTTCAAATATAGCTCAGAAATATACTATTGTAACAGTTTTTATGATTGATATTGCTTTTATTACCAACTGGCACTTTGGGGAACAACATTTCATTATTCATGTATGCAAATACACGAAGAAATAGCAGTGAAGGAATCTTGAATAGGACAGAAATGACAGAATACAATATCAATAGCACAATAGCATGGATAGCATACAATAGAACTGAACCGAACAAGAATAGAATAGAACACAACAGATCGTTCACCAAGGTGGAAAATTGTCTTTGGCCCATCTGGCACCTAATTACAACATAAAAACACAGTACACAATATACTATGAAGAGTCTAAGTTATAAAGTACAAGAAAACATCTTCTAACTGGGAGAAGTGGTCTTTGTTACCAAAGGTATATTGTAGCTGTTTAAAATTAAAGAACAGGGGATGAGAATGTTCCTCTGTGATACACAGCGCGTTCCTCCTCACTATCTGTTCTCAAAGAGTCCCAAAACGGCCTTCTGATTGGTTTACTAGCCACTGTAATGGAAATTTTCCTTAAGTGAGACTTCTGAAATAAAGAATTCAATCCAGACATCTATTAAGGGTTTTTATTATTTCCAAAAGGGTCAGACAAACACACAGAGTGCAACCAGTCTGTAGAGTGTAAGACAAAGAGCCAATGAAGAAACAGGTGTCTTTATACTCAAGGGTATTACGCAGCTGTCTTAGGGAAGAAGGGAGTATGAACCAACTGTCCTAAGATGAAGGCCTATCAAGGACAGTCAGATAAGAAATCCTTCTAATGAGCTACTTTACCATGGGAACCTTCACCTAACTGCAACATAATAAAATGATCAAAACCACACAGTCAAACATATAATAATATATTATCACACAACCATCAAACAACCATACTGGGAAACTTCACCACCTTGCTTCTGATTTTACTATTCAACCATGCCGTGATATTGTATGACAGAACACTTGTGTTGCTTATTCTCCAATATCTCTTAAATACAGATACATTTTTCTATTAGTTCAACCAAATAACTAAGCAATTAAACAATTTTAACATCATAATTTATATATGATATAATTACGCATGATCATTGTGTGTTTTTTCTAATTACATTAAACTGAGTAATAGCTCTGTCAAATTAAATAGCATCACATTATGACATAAATAGTTCATTATAATTTCATAAAGATACTTTTAGATTATGTGATAAATATAATGTCTAACATTTCTCTTCTGTTTTTACATTTTCATTATGCTTTTTTATCCTTACCTCAATGGTGGCAGTGAACGTGACTGCCATGGAGACAGTGACTGCCATGGTCTGGTAGTCCAAGGCTGTGTTGTAAAACACTCCAAACGGGATGAAGAAGAGAACAAGCGATGTGTAGACAGCATACAGGAGCGACAAGGACATCATCATAGGATTGGAGAGCTCCTGTCTCTGTCCAGACTTGTACAGCTCCGGCCATTTCAGGCTGCTTTCTGCACTCATGTCCTACAAGAGGCAGGATGAAGCATTATGACTCCAAACTTCAATTGTTTTCTGTTGTGAAAATGAACTGATGCAAGTGCTGACATTCAAATGTGTAATGAGTTCATGAAAACATTCATCTCTTAAACTGTCTCACCTGTTCAAAGAAGGCCACACACATTATTGGGGATGCTGTGTATAAGACAGTGTAGAGAGCGATGAACCAAGTCTCATACAGGGACTGCAAGAGAGAAGATTTTGAATGTTTTCTCCATGTTTAATCTTAGTTTATTATGTGACTTGAAAGTTATTGTGTCATAGGATTTTATCAATGTATGTTTAACCTGAGCACTGAAGCCATTGAAGAAACCAAACCATATGTGCACGAGAGCAAAGCCACAGGTCTTAAACAGGAAGTAGCGCAAGAAGAGGGAAATGCGCCTGTAAGACCAGCGCCCATGGACCAGTAGCAGCCTCTGCAGAAATCTGAACTGGGACAATGCAAAGTCTGCGTTGTGCACTGCCTGACCTCCCTCCACTCCTGCCATTCCCACACCAACATGAGCCGCTGATGTTAGGGAAGGACAACAGTTAGAAAAGACAGATCGAAAGCGAGAGAAATACTGTCATCTTTTCATTTAACCTGACTTACTCTTGATCATGTTGACGTCATTGGCACCGTCCCCGATGGACATGGTGACTGAGCTGGTGTGTTTCCTGACCAACGTGACAATGTCGGCCTTCTGTCCAGGTGTTACACGGCAGCATAGCACTGACTGACACTGTTCTGCCAGGCTCATGAATGTGGCCCCCCATTCTGGTCTCTGGTCAAACTCTGCCTAGAGTACAACACCATCACAACACAAATAGCTCTTTATTTCTATAAAATGTCCCTACCTTCTAATGGAGCTTTGGAGGATTCTTCACCAGTAATTCTGGGTTTCTTATAGTGATGTGGACAGCATTCACAACGCATTTTAATTCCGCCAGTATATACACTGCTCAAAAACATCAAGGGAACACTTCAATCACACATCAGATCTCGATGAACAAAATAGTTCAAAGTTCAAAATCTTTACATTAAATTGTATAATTTGTTGAGAACAAAATTATGTAACAATGGTCAATGGAAACTAAAACCACAAACCGACTGAGGGCTGGATACAAAATCACCCTGAAAATCAAAGTAAAAAATTTAAATCACAGGCTGAGCCAACATGTGTTATTTTCATCAGCAACTCCTCATGTGACTCAATAGTGTGTATGGCCTCCACATGCCTGTACTCCCAAAAACATCTGTGTGACTTTTTATGCTTCTGGTGTGTTTTAATTTGCGTGCTGTGCCTTTTTACCTTTTTATGTGCGTTATTTCAGTTTTTATCGCATGTGGTGTGTTTTAATGCATGTGTGTTTTTGTGAAGTTTTACTTACTAACTGGACTGCCCTTAAACCTCTCACCACTACTGATCACATGTTAATGAGCAATAGGTGTGGCAGCTGACAACCGATTGGACAGGACTCATTTTTTTAAATGAAGCAAAGGTATTCGGGGTGTCGGGGGGGAGGGGGGAGAGAGACGGAGGCAGGATAAGGAAGTAGTCAGGTAAGGAGCGTGACGGCGGGGAGGCCGGAGGAGATGGAGGTCTGGTGGGTGAAGAGAGCAGCAGGGAAAGCCGGCCAGCTCGTTGGGCGCTGAGCAGGGGGGCATTGAGAAGGAGGACAGCAGCTAGGAGAGACCTGTGGGGAAGCAACTGATTTGGACGGAACCGGCGCGGCAGCCGAGACGACGCAGCAGCGGCGATCGTGAGAGTAGTCGCTATAGAGGCCTGCAGGGAGACGCCGGGCTGATTCGGGAGCCAGAGCCAGGAGCAACGCGAGTAGACGACCACAGCAGCCAGTGTCCGCCAACGCGCTTCCACTCAGGCCTTGGCGAACAGTACGACTGTGAGTAACAGTTTACGTATCTTAAGCTAGGCGGCACAGAGGACCAGGCAGGGGAGAGCTGCAGAGCCGGGGTCGTGAGGCATAGGGTGCAGGTTGACTGACATGAGCACACTACTCGCCAATGCTTCATCTGTTGTAGGAAACCGACAAGCGGCGAGGACTGCGGAGCAGGCGGAGCGATCCGTGGAGCTTGATTGTTAACATTTAATTTAGCTCCTGTGGTTTGTTTCTGCTCTGCTCCAACCCCGATTTCTAAAGAACCTGTGTTCCCTAGGTGGCGTTGTCGGCGAGCCCTCGCAACATATCTTTTTTAGTTAGTAATACCCTTTTAATTTATCTTTTCACGTATCTACACATCTGGGCATGCTCCTGATGAGACAGCGGATGATGTCCTAGGGAATCTCCTCCCAGACCTGGATCAGGGCATCCGTGAGCTCCTGGACAGTCTGTAGCACTACTTGGCGGCGTTGTATCAATACATAACTTCCCAGAGGTTCTCAGTTGGATCCAGGTCTGAGGAACATGAGAGCCAGTCAATGGCATCAATGCCTTCGTCATCCAATCACTGCCTTCACACTCTGGTCACATGAGGTCTGACAATGGCTCTGAGGATTTCATTCTGGTACCAGTAACAGCAGTCATGCTACTGTTGGCTAGACCCTCCAAGGATATGCCTATCCTGACTATAACTGACACTCCGCCAAAACAGTCATGCTGGATGATGTTGCAGGCAGTATAACATTCACTGCAGCATCTTCAGACTCTTTGATGTCAGTTCCTCCTCGCACAAAGGAGCAGATACCGGTCCTGCTGCTGGGTTGTTGCCCTTCTGTGGCCCTGCCTAGCTCTCCTCGTGTAACAGCCGTCTTCTGGTATCTCCTCCATGCTCTTGAGACTGTGCTGGGAGACACAGCAAACCTTCTTGCATGTATGGATGTGCCATTCTGGAGGAGCTGGACTACCTGTGCAACCTGAATGGGCTGCATGCAGCGCCTCATGCTATCAGTAGTGACAAGGACACTAGTAAAACACAAAACTAGAGAACAGTCAGGAAGGATAAGGAGAGCGCAATTGTCTGTGGCCACAACCTGCAAAACCATTCCCTTTTTGGGTTGTTTTGCTGTTGCCTCTCCAATGCACCTGTTGTCACTTTCATTTACACCAAATCCAGTGGCACTGATTCATAATAGTTAATGCTTGCTAACTGGACAGATTGATATCCCTGAAGTTTAACTGGCATGATGTTATACTGTTATCATTAAGTATTCCCTTTTTTGAGCAGTGTATATTTAAGGCTGCAATAATATTTTTATACTAACAGTGGGTCAGATGATATGACGGGGGTAAGTAATGTAATGGGTCATTTCCAGAGACAAACCCACAGACAATTGTCACCTCAGATCTACAGTGTTCAAAGCTCGTTTTGTTTTTACAGCTTTGCTGTTTGGTTCAGTCGCACCACTGTCATCAGCACTATTTTCAGGCTGCAGGTAGCGGTTTTCAGGGAAAAAGCTCTGTAGAGCTCGGTAGTCAAGGAGACAGTGCACTGTACACTATCTGTTCATTACCAAACAGCAGACAGACACAGTTAGCAACTAGTTGGTGAACATATTGGAGCATTAAGCAGTTAAAGATAAACCACACACTTTTCTCGGGAATTCCAAAGACTCCAAATTAATGCTAATGCGGCTCCTTATTTGGTGTTTCATGATACAGAGGTATTTGCAAACCACGTGATGACAGCTATTCGGCCATCCTGTGTCCAGTGTTTACCAGCTCAGGTCCAGTAAGGACCACTGCGGTCTTTGCTCCAGTCATCTCCTTGTCTATAGCCCACAGATCTGTTTGTCTGGCCTTGAAGAAATTGACCCCTGGGTCTGGGGACTGGAGTATCTGTCTGCAGGGGCAAACACACAACAACCAATGAGAGTGTGTGAGTGTGTGCATGAGTGTGTGTGTATTGTTTTTTGTTTTTTTTATCATTGCTAACCTCAGCTCATCCCATTCCAGTAACCTGGTATCAGGATCCAGTAGTTTGCAAGAATATCCAATATTCACTGCAGTCTCTACAAGTACGAAGAAAGAGGGAGCAGGAAAGACAGAGGAAAAGACACCACAGTGACAGTTTGTTTTCATGTAGCTACAGCACAGCAATCAAATGGAGCCATTCGTACCTCCTGCTACAGTATGTCACAATACCTTTTTTGTCCCCAGTCAGTACCCATACTTTAACCCCAGCCTGTTTAAGCAGAGCAATAGTCTCAGGAACTCCCTCCTGAAGCCGGTCCTCTATTGCTGTCACCCCCAGAAGCTACGAAACATTCAAGTAAAAATTAGTATTTAGCATTCGTACAGGATATTGGCTGTAATGCATAGTAACATGACTGTAACAAGGAGACAAAGAGATAATATGAGTGACATTAAACCTCATAACATGAAAACAATCAACACCAACACACCAAAGTCATTTGGAAACAAGGATTTTTACTTACTACTTTGAGCTTTACATATATGAAACTTTAGGGAAAACTAAAGGGCAGGCACCACTAAGCAAACACTTGATTTAAAGAGTTATCTGTATTAGTTATGCTGTGTCACTGATCAGCTATATCACTTTAAATGGAGGATGACAATAAACGTGAAAATCAAATTCAGTAGGATCCTACCTGCAGATCCCTTTCCATCTGATCATATAGCTTTTCCAGCTGTGTGTCGCGGTCACGGGTTGCCATGACAGCAGACTGGGCCAGAGTTTTACTCCACTGCTCCCATGATGCCTCAGGAACAGATCGAACCGCAACACACAAAGTCCTCAGACAGGCCTGGGCAAACAACTGATAGAAGATAAGTTAACACGTTATTTGATAGGCTGCACATTATTTACTGAGTGATCCTTCAGGCAGAATTGAAGAATTGACAGAAAACATGAGATAAACATGTCTTGGCAGGCACATCTCAACTACGTGCTCTAAAATCTATTGAGAAATGTTGGTTTCTGTTTGGAGTGAAATGTCTTGATGAATTGCCATAAAATTTGGCATGTTAATGTCCCCTTGAGGATAAATTCTAATGGCTTTGATTCCTTAACTTTTCATCTAGCTCCACCATCAAGTAATAATTTCAATTTGTCCAATATTTCTTTTTATGATGAAATACCTGCAAAACATTCCCAACAGCCTCAGCAGATTGTTCTTTGTGCTAATTATCAAATGTTAGCATGCTAACACACTCAGCTAAGAAGGGTATTTATTTCAAAGCACCGCTGTGACTCTCAGATCTGCTAGCAGGCTGTAGGTTCTTAGTCTTAGTAGTTTATCGAAACCCCAGGGGTGGCAAAGAAATACGTGACCATGAAAATCACTAATAAAGTTTTACATTTGTGTAAAGTAGGATTTTGAAATGCTTAATACAGAAATGAAAACTAAAAAATACTAACAGAGTATCATATAAATAGTAGGCTCAATAACACCACACACTAATGGTTCATCACCTCCAAGGCTTCTTCAATCCTTTCCTGAAATGGACTGTCCTTCTGCAGTCTCTCCAGGATCACTATATCCGCCCCTTTACAGTACAGCTTTAACCCACCCTCCGGCTCTCTCACTGAAAGATAAAACAATAATTATTGTTTTAAAATTATTATTATTTACCTTTATCTGATGCTTTTATCCAAAGCTACTTACAATTGCTAATTATGTCAGAGGTCGCACACCTCTGGAGCAACTAGGGGTTAAGGGAGACCCGGGTCTCTCACACCAAAGGCATGCATCTTATCCACTGTACCATCACCACCACTTATTATTATAGTACTTAGCAGAGGTGGAAAAAGAGTGAGGTGAGTGCAAAAGATTACAAGAGATACAGTATGCTGTTAGTGTGTATTTAGAGGGCTACTCTCACCCAGTACAGACATGCGTCTTCTCTTGCTGGTAAAGTCCAGCAGTGCCAGCAGCTGATATTGGCGAGTGACACCCAGCTCTGAGACAACAATAAAATCTCTTGTCCTGGAAAGAAAGACCCAGCCCAGCTCCCTGGCTGCACCAACAAGAGCTTCCTCATCTGGGGACGCAGCCTGGTAAACTGGAGCCTCTGGAGGAATGAGGTCAGCACACAAGGTAGAGGTAAACATATTGTGCTCTGGGAATTGTCAGAAACTTTGTGCATACAGGTTATTATATCAGATTCAGACCAGTGATTTAGGGGTTGGAAGATACAGTCACAGGAAAAAGTATGTGAACCCTTTGGAATTACATGGATTTATGCATAAATTGGTCATAAAATGTGATCTGATGTTCATCTTGGTCACAACAATAGACAAACACAGTCTGATAAAACTAATACCACACAAACAATTATATGTTTTCACGTTCTTATTGAACACACCGTGTAAACATTAACAGAGCAATGTGGAAAAAGTATGTAAACCCTTGGATTTAATGAATCTTCTGCTAAAGCCATTCTGTTGTTGATTTACTTCTGTGCTTTAGGTCGTTGTCCTGTTGCTTCACCCATCTTCTTTTGAGCTTCAATTGGCAAACAGATGGCCTTACATTCTTCTGCAAAATTTCTTGATAAACTTTTGAATTCATTTTTCCATCAATGATAGCCACCCTTCAAAGCCCTGAGGCAGCGAAGCAGCCCCAAACCATGATTACCCCTCCACCATCCTTCACAGTTGGGTTGAGGTGTTGATATTGGTGTGCTGTGCATTTTTCCCCCGCACATAGGGTTGTGTGTTGTGTGTGTGTCTTCCAAAAAACTCAACTTTTGTTTTATCTGTCCACAGAATATTTTGCCAGTAGTGCTGTGGAATATCCAGGTGCTCTTTTGCAAACTTCAGATTTGTAGCAATGTTTTTGCCATCTGGTGTCCTCCCATGAACTACATTCTTGTTCAGTGTTTGACGTATTGTAGATTCATCAACAGAGATGTTAGCATGTTCCAGAGATTTCTGTAAGTCTTCAGCTGACACTCTAGGATTCTTCTTAAAATCATTGAATATTCGGCTCTGTGCTCATGCAGTTATCTTTGCAGGACGGCCACTATGGGAATTCCTCTGGGCGTGGCAGGGCTGAATTATGAATGAAACTACTCCAATCCTATTGGTGTTGCTAGAACGGTAGCGTATGACGGCGTAACCAGAGGCATATATAAGCACGCCGGCACACAGGACACATTAGCCCTCTTCTATGAAGCAAGGCACTCCAGGCGGGGTGAGGTGTGGCGGACCGACGCAGTGTCTCGTTCCCCTTCTCAGGGAACAAGGGTTACATACATAACCCGAGATGTTCCCCTTCGAGGGAACTCGAACAGCGTCGGTGACGACACTATGGGAATGAGATACCCACTTAGGCCGCGCTGAAACCCCACCTGCCCCCAGCGTGCAAAAACCTGAGGCACGACTAAAAGGAGAGCGCACGGGTGCCGTCTGAACGATCCAGTTGCTGATGGTGTGTTTAGAAGCGGGGAGCCCAGCCTTGGGGGATCCGAAACACACCAGCAACTGTGGTCTTCCACCGGGAAGACCTCAGAGTGTAAATACTCAGCACTCTGACAGGGCAGAGCAGATGAAGTCTCCCGTCCTCGGCCGTCACATGAGGTGGGGGATGAAACGCCTGCAGCATCGTGGACCCTGCCAAACTGGACGGAACCTTAGGGACATAGCCTGGACAAGGGTGCAGGATGGCCCTGACCCTCCCTGGGGCAAACTCCATCCAAAATCCCCCACCCTCCTCAGAGAGGTGATAGCGAGGAGAAAGGCCGTCTTAAGGGTCAAGTGCTTGGCCTCAGCCGACTCTAGGGGTTCGAAGGGGGCCTCAGCCAGCGCTTCGAGAACCACTGCCAGGTCCCAGGTGGGAACCCTGGAACGAGTCACAAGTCTCATCCTCCGGGCTCCACGGAGGAAGCGCATGACCAGTGGAAGCCTCGCCAAGGGCCCATCACTCAGAGGGGCGTGGAATGCTGCAATGGCAGCCACATATACTTTGAGCGTGGACAGGGAGAGGCCCGCGGAGAAACGGTACTGGAGAAACTCCAGTATCATAATTACCGAGCAGGTAACTGGGTCCGCCGCCCATTCTCTACACCAGGTGGCGAACACATTCCACTTCAGGCCGTACATCCTTCTCGTGGACGGGGCTCTAGAGCTGAGTAGTGTCTCGACCGCTCCTGCCATTAGGCCCGCCTCCAGGAACTGTACCCCCTCAGGGGCCAGACCCACAGCTGCCACAGGGCGGGGTGTGGGTGAAAGATCCAGCCCTCCGCCTGGGACAGCAGGTCTCTCCTCAGAGGGACCTGTCAGGGCAGGCCCTCCAGGAGCGATATTAAATCCGAGAACCACACTCGTGCCGGCCAAAACGGGGCTACTAGTAGTAGGCTGACGCCGTCCTGACGGACCCGCTCCAGAACCCCCGGGAGCAGAGCGACTGGGGGAAAGGCATACAGACACAGCCTCGGCCACGTCTGCACCATGGCATCCAGCCCTAGCGGGGCTGGGGGCGAGAGGGAGAACCACAGGGGACAGTGCATAGTCTCTCGAGACGCAAACAAGTCCCTCGACAGCAGGTCTGCTCCCTGATTCTGGGTCCCAGGGACGTACATCGCTCTGAGGGACAGCAGTCTCTGCTGGGACCACAGGAGGATCTGATGTGCCAGTTTGCATAACGGGCGCGAGCGCAGACCCCCCTGGTGATTCAAATAGGCCACCACTGCCGTATTGTCGGTTCTGACAAGGACGTGGCGACTGCGGAGAGTGGGCAGAAAACTCCTCTCTATCGCTCTGAATACCGCCAACATTTCCAGGCAATTTATGTGCCAGGAGAAATGATGCTCCTGCCAGAAGCCTCTCGCAAAGCGTCCGTCCATGACCGCGCCCTGTGCCGTGAGTGAGGCGTCTGTTGAAATAATTGTTCGGCGACAGATCGCTCCCAACACGGGGCCTTGGGACAGGAACCAAGATTTCCTCCATACAGACAGGGAACGAAGGCACCTGCTTGTAACCCGTATCAGACGGAGCGGATTTCCCCGCGGGGAGAATCCCTTGAATTTTAGCCACCACTGCCAGGCTCTCATGTGCAGTAGTCCAGAAGTTATTATACTGGACGCCGCTGCCAGGAGACCAAACACCCTCTGAAAGTGTTTTACAGTGATGGCACGGCCTAAATGCACTCTGGTCACTGAGGAAAAAATGGACTCGATGCGGGCGGGAGACAGGTGGGCCCGCATCGTCGTTGAGTCCCACACCACCCCTAGGAACATAGTCCGTTGGGCGGGCGTCACTGACTCCTGACTCCAATTAGCTTTTGGAGAAGTCGTTAGCCAAGGGGTTCACATACTTTTTCCAGAGTGTGTTCAATAAAAACATAAAAACATGTAATTGTTTGTGTTGTGTTAGTTTAATCAGACTGTGTTCATCTATTGTTGTGACTTAGATGAAGATCAGATCACATTTTATGACCAATTTATGCAGAAATCCATGTAATTCCAAAGGGTTCACATACTTTTTCCAGCAACTGTAACTGACAAAAATGCATTTGACAAGTAATGTCAGAAATAACATATACAGGTTATTTAACCTTTAATTGTAGCACCCTTGTTGGTTTAATTTAAAAACAAAGCGGAAAACATGAATCACATACGAACATTTCATCAAAAACAAACCAGTGTTGTCTGAGGTATGACCTGAGGTTTTTCAAATGGGTAATATGGATACTTTCACACAAAAACACAAACCTTCCTTCCACTCTGCCATGACAGTGTGACATAAAGACAGCGCCGTGAGGAACTGTCTGCTGAGTGGGCACTGCTGTCCTCGGAGCTTCTTCACCAGGCTGGGAGCCGACATCAACAGACCACCGCGGGAGAACTGATTCCAGCTCAAGTCCATGGGCTGCACACAAACAGTGAAAAGATGATTCAATAAGGGTTATGGTGCATTGACATTATACAGTGTTCCAATTGTGGCATGAAGAGAGTCTAATGCTGTTTACAGCAGACATTATGACACAAAAACAAGCACATAAACATTGTAAATATTCAAGGAGAGGTGAAGAAAGAACAAAAGATGCAGATTTGAGAGTAATTATATGGCACCTGTGTATCCTCTGCTCTGACTGATGCATCACCTGTGAAAGTGGAGAAATTATTGTTTTTAATGACTTGCAATAAATAGAGAAAATGGAGGTAAAGTACATGATTAGAATATCCACAAGAAAGAAGAGAAATGCAGACGTGGGCAAGTGGCAGACCGATATGTGTTTTTCAACAACTAATGCAGCCGATGGCCAATATATAATGCTGATATCAAAACAGAAAAAAGACATGTATTATTCCATGCACAGTACAATCTAAATACTGTACATGGTTATCTGAGACAGTAACAAATTGTTATAGAAGGACTTTTTATAAATGAATGGAATAGGAAAATACATTGGGTAGATGCTGCTAGGTGCTGTAGATTTCAGTCAGACCATCACTGGGGTACGGTTTATCAGAAGTGATGTCATTCAGCTGCATTTTTCTAGTATTCTAGTAGTATCTAGTTCAAGTATAACAATATATATTTAACACTAGCCAGTAATAGTTGTAGATTAGATTTACTCTCATTTAGGGATCCCAGAGGGATCTTTGTTCCACCGTAAGCCAGTGAAGAAACCCTTCTCTCTGGTCATTATCAAACTAAAATTAAATGTAAATGAATAATAAGGAAGCAAATTACTGTGTTGATTAGACAGAATAAAATCGTGTAATGTCACACATTCTTGGACACAGACTGGATTGCATTCAAGTGCCAAACAAGAACTCTTTGAGTGAACATAAATATGAAAGGTGTCTTATTGCTAACACTATTGTATCATGCTGAGAATTACACATTAGTGCAATTAGTCGCAATGAATGGTCTCTTTCAAATACTGATGGACAAGTCTGTTCAACTTCTGTCCATTTTCACTTCTTTCTCCACTTTTCAGGATTTCAATACACCATTTTTGTACTTTCTGCTTATTTTTTTTAACACTTTTTTTAACTGAATTGTGCAAGGTCATTTGATTAATAAGTCTGTCAGTAGTTGGAATTTTAGTTTCTAGTTACCCGTGCAGCCTGAGGTCAGATAAAGATACTTTGTTTTAATGCAGTAAGTAGCAGTGCTGGCATTGGGGTGTTGCTTTCTTCTAACAAAGACAATAAAAATATCACATAGAAAGTAACATTTTGGTAAAGAAAATTGGTCCACCGGTTAGAAAATCATTTGTTGGTTTCAGTTTATTGTTACCATAGATCTCCCCAGCTATGCAGCATTGTCTGAAGAGCAGACAGTTCTGAGTTAGTGTCCCAGTTTTGTCACTCAGCAGGTATCCCACTTGGCCGAGCTCCTCACTCAGTGAGGTGTTCCTGGCCTGGGCCGGTCTGTCTGCCTGCTGCCAATACATCTCCATATCCCAGCCAATAAACAGGCTGTGGACTGTGTGAATCAGCTCTAACCTGTGAACAAACAGACATGGAGGACAAATACACAGTAAGAAAGTATACACACAAATACAGCTGTATTTCCACCTTCCTGCATTCCCTCAAATGAGTGCAGTATTGTAGATGGAACTAACGTGATGTAGAGAGCAATAGGCATGGCAGGGCTGAGCAGGATGATGTAGCTCCAGAAGATCAAGAACGCTGTGTAGATGGGACTGCCATTGACCACCAGAGGGGAGATAAACCCTGTGTGGCTCATGACCCAGCTCGAAAACACACCATTGCCGACGGCATTAAGCAAAGCTGTCAGCAGCACAGACAGGACAATCTAGAGATCCAGAATATAGACACACACAGTTTATAATAATTCCACAAGATGCCTCATGCTCATCATCTCCCTGCCCTTTACCCACTCACCCCAATCACCACTCTGTTGAAAACTTTTTCCGTTTGAGTAATCTTCACTCGCAGTTTCCCGCAGTTCCTCAGGATCTTAGTGTCCGCGCCTGGTACAGAACAGACAACTATTAAATGCTATCGCTGCGGCGGCCTGGCCGAACGAGTTGGGAGTCCATCCTGCAGCCAGACGGTGAAAGTTCAAGCCCTCGTGTCAGTAAGTATCTGCTGACGTGCCCTTGAGCAAGATGCTGAATCCCTACCAGTTCCAGGGGTGTCTGACCCCACTGGCAAGAGGTCAGTGGGAAGAGAGAATTTCTCCTGCAGGCATCAATAAAGTATCAACATCATATTTTTCAGTGATGTTGAGCTGCATGTGTAAAAAAATGACAAATACTGAGAAGGTGTGCCATATCTTCAAATTGGTCGAGAACAGAAACTCATTCCAACTTAGCCTCACTATAGCAACAACATGTCAACCCTAATCATGCATAATTCAAAGTAGGATGTGTCAAGGGTGTGTCAGGAGGGTTAGAGCTATAATCAGGCTGGAGTGGGGTCACATAGATAGACAGTCTCTGATGAATGGTCTAAACCCCATCTCTGGAAGAATTTGATCTATTGATCGGCTTTACCAGAACTGAAAGGGTCATAGCAGTGAGATCCATGACACCTCTGCCTAGTCCAGTAATATCCGATCAATGATCACTTAAAAGACAGGAGGAGCCTGTAATCTGCAAGACGTTAACAGACCCACATTTAAGACACAGCTACAGGAGTTAAGTACTGTCCATAATTAGCAGTATAATGTATTTTACATAATAAAATGTGTCATTGAAACAAGTAGAGGCCACAGTAGAGGGTGAAATGAGGACAGGTGGCCTGGCCAGAAAAATATTTTGCAATACTTCTACCTCAGTTATCACGCACCTCCATGGGGCCTTATGCCATACATAAGGGCCTGCCTTCATTCTGTTTGCCTCAGTGTCATTGTTAGACTCAACAGAAAGATCATTAATGGACAAAAAGTGTATCATCCCACCCCTCACAAACATCATTTGTCTACATGTACCAGTGTATATGGTCAACCCGTAGGCGAACTCTGTGTTGCGTAGGACTGTTCCTCTCAGGAGGATGTGCTCGTTGTCCAGCAGAAGACACTCTCCTCGCCAGTGCAGCTGGCCTCTGAAGGTGTACAGGCGATTGTTGGGCTCCTCACACCACACCACACCTGTAAAATGAAATGTTACATTTGTTCTTACTGAGGACAAGTATGCATTTATGTCAAAAGTTTACTTGTGTATTTTTCTTCTACTTTAAAATGATCACATCTGAATTTACATTCTTAATAGGAAACAATTATTCACCATCAAAGGCAGCAAGCGTCTCTTCTGAGGGGTGAGAGGTCAGCTCATTGTGTGTAGCACTGAGCGCCTGCCGGTACTTGAGGTTAGTCTCTCTAAATGAAGAGAAGTTACAAGTTATACCAACACTAAACAGTTGACTCATTCATTAGAAATAATAAGAAAAAGTCAAGGCAGTGTGCAGTTGGTATGTGTATAGAGTTAAGCAATATTATTTTCTTTGGTTGTTTAACATTAAAAGGTCTTTAATCTGCACTAAACCACATGTAACTATAATCTCTGTAACTAGTTCTCACTGGTTTTAATCTGGTAAGAAAATGACAAAATCCCATAAAGCAAACTGATACCATTCTTTCACTGATCCCAGCTATACCATATACAGTAAGACCCTAAATATATCATACACCTTTTACCCTTCTGTGAGCCACCACAAAGCCTCAGATGTGCAGGCTGAGCCCCTCTGACTGTCCCAGAGTGTATAAATGATTTTAGACCTTTTAAAAGTGACCACATTATTTTGCCTTCAAGGCCCCATTGATATAGAACCTCTGAAATCAATAGCACCTTTAAAATCAAATCTTAAAGTTTCCTATTCATGCTATTATTTTTACTACTATATACATTACATTCATAGTCTTTATGTTGTAAAATCCTTTTTACTTGTTTTAATATTTTGCAAAAAAATGCACCACTACTACTATTACTAGTATAATGATTAGAAAGTTAAATAATTACGCTGACTGTGTTTCTTACCCATCGATATCTGCTGTTTCCACATAACACAAACTGTGAGGCTCTGAACTACACAAGAAGAGAAGGTCAGCCTGGGTAGAAAAATGAAAAAAGAGAGGGCTCAGTGGAAACTTACTGTAAACACAAATAGAGCTCTACGGAGAATATATTCAAATATTTAAAGCTTCATCTGCTCCATGCTGACATGATGAAATGTTCCACTTAAATCCAGAAAAATAGTAAATAATGTTTCTTATTGCACAAAAATGACTAATCAGACAAGAATCAGACACTTTGTTTCTATTTGCAGTTAATTTCTGTGTTTCTGTGTTCTGTGTGTAAATTGGAAATCTCACAGGAATGACTTGGTCTTTGCGGATTCGCAGTACATCTCCCACGCACACATGTTTCCACTGTGCTGTGCTGAAACTGAGAGAGGACAAACAAAGAGTGAGTGTATGAAAAAAAATCAAATCATTTGCTTACATTTCTTGCAGTTTGCTATTCAAAAACTCCTAAATATGCAATAGCCATACAAAACACAACAACTTTGTTTTTCATAGAGCAAAAGTAATGTTTTCATATTAAAGACGCAAATAAATAAATGCCAGTGTCAAATTTTAAAATGTACGACTAGCATATACCAAAAAGATTGCCTTTAACACAGAAACTAACATTAGACAACAACTACATCTAAGCTATATTTCTAATGTTGTGAATAATTTGTTTCAAAAATAAAAGCAGAGCAGGCCTATGTTTTCAATTACGATAAGTTCAGATACATAGAAATACCTAATTTCCTTCTATAAGAAAACTCTTTATATGACTTTTTATATGTGTCCATACCAGTAGTTTAGTCTTTCTGTTTATTAGTACATCTGGAATATAAAAGTCTCAGAAACAGACTGAAAAAAAACAAAAGGTGGGTTATGGTTCTTGACTTCCGATAGGTGTGGCAAATGCTCTGTGTTTTTGCCCTGCTCTAATGCACAAAGGGACCATTTAGAGATTCACTCATTCACACTTCATTAGAGCTTCATTAGAGGGCTGTTTCAAACTGGAACTGTGCAGAGTCCTGAGAGAACCGTCTTTGTATTCACCTCTGGGAGAGGAGTACGTCACAGGGTCGGGAGTTAATCTTGGAGTCACTGCGTCTCCTTGCCTGGAACAGAGATGGAGAGAGCAAGAGACGGACCGAAAAAGGTAATGAGAGAGGAGAAAGATATAGATTGAGAAGCGTGACATGGAGAAAAAGAGTGATGGACAGGGAGCGTGTGAGAGGGAGTGAGGGAGGCCGTGAGAGGTTGAACAGGAGAAAGGAGAAAGGAGAAACACCATTAGGGGGCTCTACAGTGACACCAGCAGGGAGATTTACACCATCCACTAAATGATTAGTCAATAGAGAGGGGTCAAGCAAGCGTTTCACCCAGAGCTGTTAACGACCGTAACTCAGTGATGCACTTAACCAGAGAATTCTCCATGCAAAACATCACGCCTGCATTTAAAAGGAAAAGCTTTAATGATAGGAGAGAAAATTAATGCTACTGGGATGACTGGTTTTGTCAGAGAGGAGAGGACAAGGAGTCAGTGAGGACAATGAAGGAGAGAAAAGAGTGCGTACATGCTTAAGTGCCCGGTGCATAAATGCATGCGTGAGGCTGGTCGTATATTTGTGTTTAAGCTCATGCATTTGTGTGTGAGCGGGTGCATTCATCACTGAGGGACAGTCCCCCTCCCAGGCGCCCCAAGGCTGAGGGGACAGAATGGCTGGTGGTCTCACCATGTCGTTGGCAAGATCTTTCAGCCCTCTCACAGAGAGTACGGTGAGCAGCGGGATGATGGTGATGTACCACGGGATGGATGAGATGACAGGAACACACTGGAGACCGCATGCAAGCGTGGATACAGAAGGAAAAAGAATCACACAAACTGTACATACCATACGCACACACAATGTGCTTCCACAAGTAATAATAATAACTACACTGCAAATCTAGACTAAACAGTCAAAAGCTCTGGCCAAATCCAATCACGGTTAAGTGATTTTTGCAGTGGCATCCTGGGAAAGACCTTTGTGGTTTTTTGAAAAAGGGTTTATGTAAGGTGTGTCATCGTGTAGGCAAATTTTGCCTGTCAACCGTACTTTGCATATAGAAAAGAAAATCATAATTACAGTCGTTATCTCAACAGACTATGTCACAGACACACCATGATGTTAGGCACATTTCATCAAACTGTATATGGATATCACAGTGTCAGGCCCATTGCCATGACTCCAGACTGTCTGCACATTCAAATTAAAAAGATAATCGTGTTTTATACTACAGTCCCAATAAAGTAGCAATTACTTTAATTTGTATGTTTTATTTTGTTTTGTTCCTTACAGACAGTCACGTCTCTTGCATGTGTCTATGTTGTAAACATCATACATCAAAAAACTAAAGCTGAACCTGTAAAAGAAATCAAAATCAAGTCAGATTTTCTGGAATCAAAGCATGAGAGACAGCAGAGCTTTTATCTGACCTGCAACACCACCATGAGGAGGAAGTAGAGATTGGCCACTCGCTGGAATTGTTCAAACAGAGTCAGGGGCAGGAAAGTCACAGGGGAGTACTTGTGGCTGCGCACCACATTGTCCTGGCGATCGACATGAAAAGCAACAGAGAGAGAGAGTCATACATATCAACACATTAACTTGTTTCTCAGTGCATCAGCATGCCAACAGGTGTCAGGTACTATGTGGAGGGAAAAAGCATGTGTGTGACTGACTCACCGCGTATCGTCCCCAGCAGAAGCACAGAAAGGATTTCTTCTGTTTGTGTTTGTGGTAGTGGCGGCTGTTTGCCCTCACCTCCCATGTGAGGCCTGTCAGACACGTAAGGCTTACTCTTAGCTCAGGAACTATTTCCACACAATGATTCAAATTATCATTTACATCGGCAAACAGCAGATGGATGTGTGTGTGTGCTTCTGTGAATGTGTATTAATATGCAAGCGTAAGTAGTGTCCCGCTGTTAACCATATCTTAAAGAGATTCTTGCATCACCCATTCAGAGCCTCAAGAAGGCAAAAATAAATCTAGTACCATCTGCTGAAGAAACATGATCTCTTATTGGAGAAACTTTCAAACTTGATAAAAGATCACATGCAGGCTGCTACGTAAATATGACACTGATAGTTTATGTTAATGGATATGAATGTTATTGTTCATTTTGAATCAAAAACCCTAAACTCCACACACCTCAGAATGTTCTACGTAAACACAGAGAGTATTAAATAAAGATAATAATACATTATAATAAACAGACAGTAAGCAGCAGGTGAAGAAAAAAGGAAATAAAGGATGAGATCAAAAGAGACGTACCAGACTCAACACTTTCCTTGGCCATGCTGCTGAGGAGACTCAGAAGTTAGTAGACTCTGGTTGTCCTATTTGAAGGAGACAACAGAGTGAATTGCCTGCGTATGCTGCTTAGATACATTTCTGAGTCTTGTAACTCATTACACTGCGTTACCATGCTTACCGATACCATAGCAGGGAAAAGGTTAGAAATGACTGCTGCTGATCTAAACAGACTCATCTGCCGACTGTAGCTCTCCAAACACTTAAATATCCTTTTTTAAGCACTTGATTACATAAACAAAATGTAACTAAGGTGAAGTGAAGGCTTGTTTTCCTTACCAACTCTTCTGGCTGAGTCTCTGCTGGAAGCTGCATAAGCACTCCTGGTGAGAGAGAACTGATGCTGCTCTGATCCAACCACCTGCATTAAACCTGCAATTAATGTGCAGATGATTCAGCACAAGAACTGTAATTAATGACTGTTACGCTACATTTGACCTGTTGCTAAGTAATTAATACCTAGACCACATTTATAAACAAATTAATAAACACAGAGTAAAGGCTGAAAGGACATTAAATTAGCCTGCTTTGAGTTTTAATGGATCCTGTTTGTGAAGCTGGTAATAGTAAATTTGTTATTGAAATGAATCATAAGCAGCTGCACATAAATAACCCACGCAAATAGGAAAGAGTCATGCATTTACCTGCATTGTTACCTGCAGCCAGGTGACATAGCTGAGCTATCAATCATTAAGCCCTACTGACCGCTAAACATGTTCGTTTGTTTTAACCATTCTTCAGCTGCTTTTCATACCACACACCTGGTTCATCCATCCTCCTCCTTTCTCTTTCTCCTTGGGCTGGTACGACATGTTCCCAGCCCCGCCTTCACTTCGCTCCCATGTGAAGGCTCCAGTATCACATACTGTACTCCCTGTGCACATAACCTGAGGAGAGAAAGAGGAATGGAGGTGGGGCTCCAAGGCCAGTGGAAGACATTTCCTGTAAAAACAGAAACATGTTTAGATGTAGTAAACTAACACAAACTATAATTCCAGACACACTAACTGGGTGAACTTTTTTAAACTAACCTAAATAACATCAGTGTCCCAGAAAGTCTTTGTAATAGTATGGTAATGTTGCTTTTGCACCACGCACCAGTGGGAGTTTTGGTTTACAAGAATGTGAAAGCAGTGCAACTTTGCATTAAGACTGGGCATGAATGGCCAACACAAAACTCCCGTTCTCATTTACTGCTTTTCTTACTCACCCAATCTCTTCATACGTAAATTCTTCCACCAACATCCACAACATAGATTAAATAAGATTAGTTGCAACTGCGGCTGAATTGTTGTCATTTTAATGAGGAAATGCCCCAACTATTTAACAGTGTGCTTCCAAAAACACACAAAAAAGTATTCTGTACTGTGCATTAGTAAATTACCTCACAATCGCAGTTTCTTTTGTACCGTATGTGGCTTGGCCTCATAAGTGTTAAATGAATCACTTATATACTTTCAGATTAAAATGAAACATTTACCTACTTTTTTTTTACAAACGAAATCAGTTTTTCATTCATATGTTCTCGAAAAGAGCTTTTATTAAAGAACTTGTTTTCAGTTCAAAGGTTGCATACGGTATATGTTTAACTCAGTTTAGAAAACGCTAATATATGTAATAGTATTTCTCACATGGCTGATTTTAGTCAAATAAATCTTCATCTTTAGACAAAAGTCAAGCAGTGCATTATTTATTTAAGGGCTTTAGTTAACCATTCTTCCTTCTTCATGAATCTAATGCCACCTGGTGGAGGTAAGCACCCACTGCAGTTTAACCATCAGATGAAGGTCAAAATGGGTGAATATGACAACAATAGCACGTCTGAACAAAAGGCAGCTCAGAATGTATATGTTCACTCAATGTCAGTTAAATGTACTATTTGTGGTTTCATATCTCTTTGTCTCATTTGTCTTCCCTATGTAAGTGAGGTCTTCCCCACAAATGCCACACATCAACACCTGAAGGTGTGTGTATCTTGCGTCTTATATGTGTGTATGTGAGTGCATGTGCATATCTAGGGCGATCTTTCCTATCTATTTTTACAGCTGGGCTGTGCAGCAGAGTGGTTAGGGTGATGTGCCGGTGGCGTGAAATGGGTGCTCTCAGGCCTCCACAAACAATGGCAGTCAATAGGCCAGGCTTTTCCACCACAATTTAACCGTTGCCCATCACGGCTGCCAAACCTCACAACCAGAAACACGCAGGAGAATGGTCTCATTGGGTTGTTGCCAAATCAACTCTGCAAATTTGAAGAAAGAGAGGCTTAAGCAATATCAAACATTTATATATTAATACATATAACATACATTATAAATTATATAAGCTAATTGGAGAAAAAGAGGGTATCTTCCAAAGATATGATCTTTAAAGTACAAATTCCCTCTTTGTTTTACTATTTGTTTGTGCATGAATGCACATTTGGACATATGAACATTGTATTGAGAAAGACTGTGAAACTATCTTTTAAATAAACGTTTATCTGAGACTCTTATGGCTAAAAATAAAATAAGCTATGTCTTAGGCAGCACAGATTGAGGTGATACAATGCAAAGATACAACTAGTTTGTCGCTGCTAGAGGTAGTAAAATAAACGCTTAAGACAATCTCACATAAGTCATGTTAGTTAATGGGCCAGCCGCCAACAGAAACCAAGCGCTGCAAACATTAGTAACGCTTCTTCTTATTTCAACACCTTTTAAATTCTTGGAACTGACCTATTGACAAAGACGTCACTAATTATATATAAAAAACTTTTCAAGGTCACATCTAGCTAAGATTCACATTCTTACCACAGCATCAGCAGGCAGTGAGAAAAACACAAGAGGAGGAGATAACAAGTTTAACTTCCTCATGTTTTCTTCAATTCAGAATGGAAATATGAACAAACTGCTAAACCTTAAACAGCTTAAAAACCGCAATGCCCTCCGCAGTAACTGAGAAACTACGTGCACAGTAACAAGTCATTTTGAAATCTTGATGGGCATACAGAGGAAGTCACCGTGCTGTGCTATAGAAATTGAGATATATTATTTAATTTCTTTCTATACTGTTAACTGACTGCTAACTTTTCAGGAAATGTCTATTTTAACTGCATCATAATTATCACTTTATACAAACCTTACACTCAACAATAAAAACCACAATTGGCAAGAACTACCGCAAAACAGACACATTGATTATCTCTCTGCAATTTATAGCACTGTCAAAATACAGGCCAAGTTTCCACTACATGTTTTACTTGTATGTTAAAGCATGTTTGTTCTCATCTTATTCTGTATCTCACAGGATCTCAGCAGGGCATGACCCTAAGGCCACTCCAGACTTCAGCTCGGTGAGTGTGGGAAGTTTTTCAATGCTGTTGTTTCTCAGGGGCCTACATCACTACTGTAAGGTTTTCATGTGGCACTAAACAAAAGTCACACTGCAGCTGACTATGAAGAGGTGATGCCCTCCGTGCTAGCTGAGGCTCAACTTCCTGTAAAAAGTGGTTAACTGCTCAGATGTGAGTTAAGGAGCAGGAATCAGGCCAGCAGACGTCAACCCCGACAATCACACAAATGGCCTCCTTTAAAGAGGGTGAAAAATAAATAGGGTTTTACATGACATACAAAACAGATATTAAATAGGTTACAATGAGGCCAAAACAAAGCGGCGATTCCAATGAATTAAACTTTCAGCACTGCAGCTTGTTGAAAGTAGAACATGGTGGGTTATGGGTGGGAGTGTATGTTTGTGTGTGAGGAGTGGGGGTGACATAACAACATCAAAGCTTACTGGAACAGACTGATTAAACCATGATGAGTCACCTCATCGTTGGTGACTTTCACTTGAAAACGTTGGTATCACTTTGTTCAGGTGAAATGTGTGGGTGCACTGAAACTTATCAGCAGTAATAAAACTGGTTAAGTAAGACTGTCAGGTACCGTGAAGGGCATATCTGGAAGACACATAAATGATGTTACGACAGTTTCTTTTTCTAACTTGTACTGCTGGCAGAAAACCCTATCAAATCATATCAAAAGCAACTGGACTATGCTAAAGCTAAAGAATATGTCCCCACATTCATGCACAGTGTTCTCTGCATAATTTTTGCTTAGATATTATCATTCATTGTAGATATTTTAAACAGAAAATGCAGGGTATAGTTAATAAAGTGCCAAATCAAATTTGTTTTATATTCAAATAAATGTACAGTGTATGGTTGCCAGCATGACAAGATGCATCAATTAAAGGATAAGTCTGGTGTTATTCTACATTTCTTAATTTAGCCAAATCCAAGGAAAGAGGCGTGTGTCTGCCACATGTCTCATGTAGCTGATGTTAGAAATAGCTCATTCATTGTTCCACAAATATCCATTGTTGTCCAATAACAAACAAAATGATAACTTGGCTGAACTAAAGAAAACTCAGCTCATATCAGCTTAAGGTAACATCATGCGCAGACAAGGAAGTCCTTCCCTCTTTCTCCACTGACAAACAACAACTCAAACGGGCCCTTCAGTCCACTGAAGAATCACCTTAGGCAGAACCGTAGGCTATTTCTCTCATGAGTCTCTCAGTCCATCACATCTAAAAATGTCTATTTACTTGTTTCAGTAAACATTGTCAGTACAAACGCGACCTAAAGCAACATTATGGGGAGACCGGGGGCAATCGTTACGCTTTTTACATTTTCCGACTACTTGAAATACACTAGTCATCTTTTGATACAAGAAACATATATAGGTGCACTAATTAATAATACAATTGATATATTTTCACTAATAAGGACAAGACTAAATGCAAGAATCCAGAGTGTTGGTGGGGGAAATTGTAAGTTATATTAACCCAATGTATCTCAATGTAAACGCCTACCTCAAAGTAATCACTTTACTGCTGTAGTATCTAATAATGTTACTTTTGTAGGCTATATGGTTAAAATTCTTTTTACGACGTCAGGCATCATAAGCATTAAAAAAACAAAATTTTTGCAGAAGACAAAGTCACATGACAGCCGCCATGTGACTTTCCCTGTACAACTTCACTGGCTGCACTCTCCACCAGTGATTGTGGCTGGGGTCTCCTATCTGTCATCCTGTGCCTGAATCTAAGCACAGTTCTGTAGAGAAAAAACATCTGCTAAATTCTCCGTTCTAATTTCATAAAATGGCTTCTTACAAGTGAAGAAAGCATTCACTTAGGTTTTGCTGGGTCTTACACAATCAAATCACTTTAATTTCACTACAGAGACACACATTATTTTATACAAATAATGTATGTTAATTGATGATCTATGTGTATAATACAACAAGCACATTTATTTTAACACCCTTTTAAACGTAGTTTTACACTTAATTTTAGTGAAAAATGTTCATTTTCTAACAGAAAAGTACATCAATGCAGATAAACAAATTGTTGACATTGGGCCACGTGGCCATGATAAAATCTCGTATGCTAGCTGGCAACACCTACATTAGCATCGGTTGTTCATGTTAATTTTTAATCAATAACCTAGAGATAAAATGTATGTAAGTTTCGCAGTCATCTTTAGAGAGCAGAAGAAAAATACTGTACATCCAAAAAGTAACTTTCATACCTCAAAATCAGTATTTTGTTGGAAACTTCTGCTGAGGTGAAATGATCTAGCTCCTTTTCCACAGGCAGAGAGAGAATCCTAAAGCGCATGTGCAGATTAAGTGTCATCACTCCAGCTTGTTTCTGAGTGGAGGAATTGAGTGTGTTACAACTGCCCCAGGTCTCCCCTACTTTTATGATAAAATAAGAGTTTCAAAATCATTTTGATGGTACACTGACTTGTAATAGGGAGAATGGCATCTCTGTCATTGCCACTCCAGGTCCACAGCTTCTGGTACTCCACCATATAGCATTGGAATCCTATCACGAGAACAGCGGTGACCAAGCAAGAGACCAAACAAGAGTAAATTTCTTTTCTCGTTAGCGTGAGGTAAAAAAGCTTAAATAATGTAAGACGCTGGCCTTCTTGCTGTTGGACTAGTAAGTAATAACATATTAGCTCACTCTGACATCAGAAACGTTACTGTAAGCGCTCTTGCGTCGGTTGCTGTCCCACCCAAGCTTCAAGCAACATTATGCAACTTTTGTAACATAAACTTACAGCTGGTGGAGCGTGGTGTTAAGGTGTTGATCAGCCAATTATTCATACGAGAGAAACAAACTGGACAGACTTTTATCAGCTGTGTGATTCCCTCTCAGACAGAAGTGTTGCCTAAACTACAGCTCCTGCATCACATATACTGCTCAAGATTATTCATCCACATACAGAGAGATCATCTGCAACATGCAGTCAGGATGTGGCAGTGGTAAACAGTATGCAGGGCCATTACATACCACAATTCTCTCTGAGCATGTTCATTTGAACAGTGACAATGAGCCATCCTTGCTGGGAGCAGATTCAGTCAGTAGGTTACTGTGCAGTACAGTTAATCAAAGCTGAATAACGTCTATCTTGACAATATATCAGTCCTGCATATATTAATAAACCATTAGCTGCATCATTTGACAGCTGTACTGGATGGTATATTGTTCATAAATACACCTTCTTGTGGTTGCTACAAGGTGGCATTAAGTCTGTTCCCTTCCTGTGAGTGTGTGTGTATATGTGTGTTTCATGTTTTTATATCCTAATGGGCACACTAACCAATGAGGACGGCTTTTTAAGGGTTAACAAACGTGTGTGTGTGTGTGTGTGTGTGTGTGTGTCTGTGTGACCAGCCCATTCTAATATGTGACCATGTTTATGTGCACTTTTGATTAAGGCCGTCAGACTAACCAGCAGCTAACAGTACAATCTGATATGTTACTACCTCTTTAAAAATCTGGAGACTTTTACTGAAAGACTAACCTGACTGTTGGAACATGGCGAACTGTGGCCACTGTGGTTACAGTGAGTCAGAAAGAAAGATCTGTTGGAGTTTTCTACAAACACAGAGCTGATAGCTGAGAGGACATCCCCCTCTTGATATGGACAGCCCCCACACTCAGCACACCACAACGAAATCTGCAGAAGAGTGATCTTGTACACTGTAGTGTGGTTTTACATTTAGTGCGGTCGTGCTGTGATGCATCTTCGTATGGTGCTTCTTCTATTTACCTGAACGGCTAAGTGGTGAGCAGGTTTGCAGCTGATCAAACAAATAATTATATGACTTTTTGGGCACAAGGTCAACCATACAGCTTCAGGTCAATCAGCATCTTAACAAGACTACTTTTCTGTAGCACCACTGGTGGCTTTGTGAGGCTGTAATGTTCATTAAACACCAGACAAAATTGTTCAGCAGTAACTGAAAGTAAATGAGAGATTCTTCCCACAAGTGGGCCAAATAAAATTCTGCATCTTATCATGCTAAATGCTAACTAAATGCATGACATGATACACCTTTCACACATACAATTGCTTGTTAACATGTAGGCCTACAGTATATTCTGCATGATATCATGTTAACATTAACACATGCTAAAATTTAACATAATAGTTAGCATTACTGGAAAAGCACAGGTGTGGCTAACAGTAACTCATTAGATTTAAGGCCAACATAAACTCTCAGATGTACAGATTGACCAACCAAATGGATGGACCATGTGGAGCAAACATAATACATTCACGTGAGCAGGACTGAGCAAAGCCAAATAAAATGTTAAAACCTCTGTACTGGCTCAAATTAAAAGCACAATAAAGTGATGTCAAAGAAATGTGCATTCTGAACAACAGTGACTACTTAAGTAATTTGTCAAATTTGTGAAAAGATAATTTGCTGATATATTAATAGGGGGTTAGACTGACCCATATGCTTCCTTAAATTTCATTGTGGGTCCATTCACAGTAATATGTGTAGATAAAGCTTACAGATGCATACTTTACAGTTGGGAATCATTTCCACATGGTGTTGGAGGAAGACCTTGGAAAATGGTGTTGTTTGTAATTTCCAAATTTTCCATCTGAAGAGAAGTAGGAGCCACGAGTTCCCATGCTGAGCGATAGAGCATGGATATTTTAAAAGCAACTTTGGAGGCCGTCAATAATGTTTTGTGGTTAATTAATTTTTTTTAAAAACCTCCGTGATTTCTCATGCACCTCATTTTCACAAGCTATTAGGCTAAGTCTACTATTTAACTAATCACACACCAATAAATTATAGGCTCGCGTTCAAGTTTAATGCAGACCCGTGTGTGAAGTCTGCGGAGCATAGTGGATCCGGCTGCGTCAAGTGCACTGCAGGCAATGCGCAGGTGATCATGCGAATCGATGCGCAGTAAACGAACTTAACAAGACCCATAAGTAGGGCAAATAATCCAAAATGACTCATTTCAGTATCACCTGTTGGTTTAATCGTGACCACACTGTTGTGTTGGACTTCCGCTCTCCAAGTGAAGTTGCCTGATGAGTTTCCATGGTATGAAACAGAAAGCCCGAGGACACAACACGATTGGCTGCATGCATTGTAGATATGTGAGCGCCTCCCAGCAGCTCTGCTCTCTTCAGCACCGCTGGTTGTGATTGACAGGTAAGCGCAGGCTTCTCCGGGCAAACACGTAACATCCACAAACTTAAAGTCTACATATAGTCTAATTAATTCTGCATTATCTAAGTGCTATTTCAAACGCTGTACGTTGCTGTGTGTGTTGCAGAATTACATCAAGCTCTCCAAATCATCCAACCTTTCATTCAGGTCAGTGCGAGGAGTTTAACACTGTCTAATCATCAGGTTTGACATTAATGCTATTTTATTAATCTACTCGCTTAGCCAAGGCTACTAACTAAAGGTTAACTGGTGTTGATTTGAATCATGTCTTTAAATATATCTTAAAACTCTTGCTTGTCGTCTTTGCTTTTAAGGGACATAACAATCTTTATTTCGATCCTTTGTAAGTAACCCACCACAATATACTCGTTACAATCCTGCACTCAGATGCTGACTCAAGTAAAATGCACTTCAAATGTAACTCAGCACAAATAACCTACTTTTAGTGTTGAACATAAAAGTGCTTAAATGCTAAATTGTCTGTTTCCTGGGTAAAGTTAGGATATTATTGCTTTATTATTAGGCTTCTAATTCATTAACATGTAGGCCTATGCACCATTTAATGTTTTAGCTGCTAGAGGTGGAGCTACTTTTACCTGCTTTGTAGTAGGCTACAATCTTTTAATTAATAATTCCATGAGATATGTTTTGGATGTTGGCTAAAATCTGAATCTAAAATTAAGTAATAATTTAATAAAACAAATTATGGAGTTGCATACAAAGTAAAACATCCCCATCATGTAGGCTCCTTTAATATTACAAGTAACAATTAAGTTAATATCAAAACCGCATGGATTAGAGATTTAAGGATCTTCAGCATATTGATGAAGTAACAGTCATACGGATAGTAGACCTAGTAGGTACAAACATCCTCCGCATTTGAGATCGAAATCAGATAGGCCTAGATAGAGTTTTCGCTCAAATTAAAAGCTGTTTGATTCAAACAGATTTCTCCCCTCCCTGTCTAGTGCCAATGTCCACCTCCGGGAGCCCTGACGGTGCAGGGGCCGCTGCTCTGTGCCAGCCCTCTTCTTCAGTCGAGAGCAGCGGCTACACGGACCCTGGACCTCTCTACCCGTCAAGGTCCTCCCTGCTGTCCCGACGTTTCCTGCGTTTACGGGGCTGCAGCAGCCACGTAAGCCCCGTTACACGCCGCAAGAGGGAGATGATCCCCGCCGACAAGAAAGATGCCAACTACTGGGATAAGCGACAGAAGAACAACGAGGCGGCCAAGCGGTCCAGGGAGAAAAGGAGGCTGAACGACCTGATGCTGGAGGGTCAGCTGCTGGCTCTGAATGACGAGAACGCGCAGCTGCGGGCTCAGGTGCTCAGCCTGCAGTTTCACAGCAGCCTGAGCGCAGAAAAGAGCAAAGCCACATCTGTTGAAGCTTCTACTCTGTCCTTATCACCTAGAGCGGCTCACACCCCTGCCCTCTTCCCGGCAGGACTCTGGGGCAACAGCAGGAGCCACCCGGCTTCTGCCCTGGGTGTGAAGCATCAAGAAACAGCGATCCACCCATTCGAGGCCAAGATCCCGTGTTTTAGCCCAGTTGGAGGTGTTGGTGGTTTTAATAACCCACAAAGCTCTCACAACGGTGGCCCACAGCAAGGCCTCTTCCCCCTCTCCGTTCCCCGTGTCCTCTCTCCTCGAGCGGTTCTGGAGGGAGGGAGGTCAGCGGAGGCAGATGTGGATGCTCATCGACAGGTCTCCTCCAGCGATGACATCCCCAACTCCACCGACGCCTCTTCCCACCCGGCCTCCTCCACCCGAGCATTTCTGCACACACCCGACACACTCCAACATGCCTCCATCCTGTCATACCCACCTCAAAATTGGCTGCTGCCCCATCTGAATCACCCGGCTGTATGTAATAATTTCCTGCTGCCTTGGCGGTCTCCTTACCTGCCCCCCCCGGCCGTCTACCCTGGCCTGCCACTCTACATACAAGAGAGACAAGGCCAGGCTCTCGGCGTGGATGCAGACAGTCACAGGGGGTTGAGGAGCCGGCTCAGCAGTGCACCGGCAGTGCTGTCTCAACTTGGGATGCACCTCAGTCTGGATGGTCGCTAACAGGACAGTTTGATGGTCATGGCATTTATTACAGGGGTCCGTGGGATAGAAGCTTGCAGTGTATTTTGATGCTGCAATAATGTCTTGTATAGCCTAATGCAATTACAGATGTGAATGTTTTAAAATGCCAATGGATATGCCTACCAAAGAAGCTTTATAATTTGATGACATAGCCTATTAATTGCAAATAGGCGACTGGATTTGTTATTTGGTCATATAAAAACAGGAAAAATGTGAATGTACTTTAGGCTATATACAGAGGATATATATCCTATATTAGCTGAAATACAGAAGGCATGGAGAATGTTGCGTTTTAATGCAGCCCACACTGTGGTTTCAAGTGTATACCAGGAAGAAACAGCGGTTACATTGCAGGCACGGACTAGTGCTGTCAGAGATCTTCTAAACCTCTTTAACATTAAGCAGAGCCTATTTCAGTCTTTTATTAGGCCCTAATGATATTTATATTATGTACAGTAGTAGGCTTTGTATAGCTGGAGATACAAAAAGTCCGTCCACGTTTTTGAAATAGCTTATTAGAGACCTAAATGAAATTACCGGGTTGATTTGATTGGTTGTAAAACTTATTGTTTGTGAATGTTTGCCGTTGTTTGCCGTTTATCTGCGGTGAAAAACCCAGCGAAACTGAATGCTAGTTGACTCGGTATTCCCCTTCATCCCCAGTGCGCGATTTCCCAGCAGACTTTGATTAAATGGAAAAATAAACGTTGAACCGTTTATTTGTGGGCTTAGCCTACAGGCTGTGAGACATTTTCCTCCACTGCATCTAGTTACGCCACTCTTACTCTTGTTTAAGCCAGGAATATCAATACAATAGTCTGACAAAATGTTTGCAATACGATGGTTCATTAAGCCGTTTATACTGTCAAATAAAATAAGGTATTAAATAGCCTAATATAAATTTTCCATCTTTAATGAAGATTGCAATAGTTTATGTCATATCAAGGAAGCAAAAATATGTTAATATGGAAATAAAAGACTGGTGTTTAAAAGCAGCTCTTAAATGACATTTTAATTATTTAAACTGACCCCCAAAGTAAAAAAACAATAACAATAAGAAGAAATGCCATGATCCACAATAAAATAATGTCCTACCTACTAATGGTTCGTTCTTGCAGTTTATGCTAATCTAGTCATATGGCTGGCTGCATGACTGTCAACACCGTGCTCGAACCGTGTCAACGCTTTTATTCTTCTGCATACACTGCAGGGGAAATCTATCTTTAAAGTATATTCACTGGCGCTGTCACTATTCAGTAAGCTGAAATAAAACAGTAGTCCAGGCTGATTAGATAGTACAAGCCAATCAGGTTTAGCCGCTCAGCAGGCCTTTCCAGGAAAGCTCCACTTTTCAAGACACTTTTTGTAAAAGTTCAGCTTCATGCTAGAGTTATGTTTACTGCTGTCGGAACAATAGAGTTGTTGAAAAGCGATTTATTCCCCCTGGTTATAATATCCTCTTTTGACAAGATTCTGTGATGGCATCGCCCACGAGGTCCCGCAGTCAGCCAGCACGGGTCCCGGAGGCCACCAGCAGGGGGCGCTAAAATACAATGTTGGTGGAGTGGAGTAGCTGCGAGTGAATGCACCACTCAAACCAGTAGTCTATTGTTTCAATGGAACATACCCAAACAAGAAAATACTAAAGAGTGTAACATTTACACAGATTTTATAAATATTCCATAAAAAAATCATGAATGAACAAATGTAGCTTTAATATCTGGTGACCCTGCTAGAGACAAAATCATCTTTTTTTAAATAGTAGTGGTGAAGTCTTCTAAATAAAGCTAAAAATTGTACATGTTTTGTGAGTAATCATTTGTATTTGAACATGCCTTGAACTGCTTTCAATAGATTAAAACATAAAATAAAGTGTACTTTGCAACAGGATATAAGGGGTTTCAGGAATATTTAGTCTGATTCATGGCTCATCTTAATTTAGAAACTAATATCAACACACAATAATTGTCTCAGTTGGCTGGTCGCAAAATGTTAGTCCACTAAATCATCAACTCTGCGTTATACAGTTCACACATATTTTCTGCTTTGTTCACTGTCAGATAATGTTCAGTTGTAATGTTTATGTCATATACTTTCTGGTTTCGACAAAAGGACTTTGACACAATTTCTTCCACCCCACAGGCACAATGTATGTAGTTCGAAAAAGAAGTCTAAGAATACACAAATGTCTAGTCAAAATACTTGAGCTTGACAATTACTTTGTTGGACGTGCAGGTTAGACTCCGTCTTCTTGGCTGTATGACAACAATAAAGCATTTTTTTCGCGTCCACACGGAACTCTGGTGCATATTTGTTTTTAACATTAAGGGCTTAAGCGCATCACATCAGGAAGCAAAAATCTCACTTGTCTACATGTGACACGTGTCTATAGATAGAAATGGGGGTCGAGGTCTAATTTCCAGTCACGCAAAAGCATGTGCTATAATTCCAATTATAAAATTCATTTGTATTCCTAAAATGTATAACAAGGGGTTCTAAAGTGAACAGAGTATATTGCAAAAAGCACATCAGCGACAGGATAATAAATGTGCACACATGTAGTCGCAACTGTGACATCTAAGCTGATTAGCCTAAGTGACAAACACTTCTCTTTTTTTCTGTGAATCTGAGGTGCCAAAGATTTATTTACACTCATACCGAAAACAGTCACTATAGATAACTCCTCTCAGTTATGCTTTATTGTAAAGATCTGAAAGACACATCACTCTGGTGTTACCTTGTACCATGGGTGCTGTGGCTTAGTCTCTTGTACTACTACTGCTACAACTGCTGCTGCTGCTGTTATATTTATGATTTTTCAGGTAAGGTAACATGAAACATGTAAATGAACACTACACAGCACAGAAGAACACTGCAAAGACAAAACAAATGGCATTAATTTGTTTGAAGAATGAAATAACGGTTTGGCATTACTTTACTCTGGGGTGGTAAATGCATATCCCTCCGCAGTTATAGCATGCGACACACAAAATATGTCAGTTTGAAACTGACAGCAACGTCATGCGAGACCCCTGTGTGGGGAAGCCACCAACACCACAATATTATGAAGATCAAGGAGGCCAGTCAGACGCTTTTCATGCAACAACAGAGGTGGACAGTCCAAGGTAAAGACAGGAAAACAAGACATAAAGAGAGAAAGCATAGAAAGTGGGAGGTGAGAGGGTAGACTGAAAGCAACAAGGCATTATCAGCCCCCCTCTGCTTATATGAGCATCCATCTCGTGACTCAGTCTCAAAGGAGAGTTCCCTGCTCTAAGTTGTATTTTAGTACTGTGTGAGAGCGAGATTTATCGGAATTAGCTCATTCTTACCTCTGCAGCAGTGGACTTTCTGCACAAGGTAAGGCCTCAAGCTCATTTTCTCGTCTGAACCCTGTTTTTCGGGGAGCTGATGGATTCAGGAGAGGAAATGGTTTAGGTGTTACTGGCCAAAGGATAGACGGTTTTTGCACATGCTACCGTTCTCTCGAGCTGAATACAGACCAACACCACATTGTTGTGCGACGTTAACTCAGTAAACTTCTTTTGGTATCATTCTTTTTCATCTTCTGCCAAAATACAGGAATAAGTGACTGGCCTTTTCAGTTGTTCATATTTTTATGTATATTATCAAAACAAAATCAATTCATTCAGAATATATTATGTGAATAGGTTACTCTCTTATCTGTAAAGAATTGTTTGAGGAAGAGGAAGTGTTACTAACATGTAAATATCTGCGATATAATTTAGGAGGACAGATTTGTACATTGTTTCTATTGTAAAAGTCCTTGCTGTAAAATATAAATAATTTATAATGTAATTTATAAATTGGCCAAAGCGGGGGTTAAGTAAGTCAACTTTTCAAATATATATGTATTCAAAATATTCAAACATTTACTCAGTTTGAAGTGTTATTTTTTTATCTGGTAAAGGGACGTTTACTGCAGTTGTAAAGACATAAATCACTTTGGATGAACAATGTTGTGTTGTGCAATTTTAATGCTTCTTAATCTAAACACACAGAGTTTGGGTCATGTAAACAGTATTATTAATATATTATTTTTTACACTTAGTGACCAAAAGTTAGTTTATAAGTTTATAGTTTAGAAATAGTTTAGAAATAGTTTATTTCTGTTTACCATTTTTCATAATTGATTCTGTATTAATGTATATTGTCTGCTATGTAGCAGAAGGGAGTTACTAAACTCAATTTCACTCTATAACTTGTTATATTGTGACAATAAACCTAGCTACCTACCAGAAAAGTAGAAATTGTCACTGCGTTGCAATGTTATCTAGTACCGCAATAAATCTTTTATAAAACTGATAATTATCTGTCTTTGTTGACATGGTGTCAGAGATGTGATGATTCAAACACACAGTCATTTTTGAGGCTGTATCTTGTGGTCTTGTTTCACTTTGCAGTGTGCTGTAAGGTGTTTCAGCAATTTCCATCCTACATGTATGTGAGGTGGAAGAAATTTGAAGAATACCTTTCAATATATCAATCCAATACTAAGAGCTCAAAACATTTAGGTATTGCACTGTACTGCATCGCACAGGGGTTTCTATTCTTTTGGTCACACAGTAGGAATTATAAAAAGGGAATTTGTTTTTGCATTATTTGGTCCTGGTTGAGCTTTCATCTAATCTGAATGGTCTTAAGTGCAAATCCAGAGGTTTCCAAAAAAAGCATAAATCACCCTCGTATAGTATGTAACTACACAAATAATTGGGTCTAAGGAGAAATCTTATATGTGATATATATTCTATGATGGTAAAACACAGAATTTAGAAGACTTGAATAAAAGATAATGTCCATCCAGCCATTTTTTATTACGCAATAACATTGATGGCTTAGTAGCAATATTTAATGTTTTTGTTTCCGTTTTTTTATGATTCTGTAAATACTTTGAGTGCCGTTTATTTCCATGTATCGTCAGCAGTTTGAAAAGGTGAATTTTTCTGGTGTTTCATGTTTTTAGGAATATATACGTTAACAGACAACTCAAGCCAAGAACTGTGGCAAATTCTTTATTCCCCCAAGAGAAAATTCATTCACTCTTATTTCCACAATGGCAGTTTACAAGAGACACGAGCACACTACATTGAGGTGAAAAGCCACAAAATACAGACTGACCAAGTTTTCCTCCTATGGGTAGTTATTTTAACAATTGCTGGTAGGGCGCACAGCAACACAGCAGCAGATGGCTGAGTATGAGAAAACGGATAGACACAAAAAGAAGAAGTTTGAGAGTTCCTTACTAAAAAGCAGGCTGGCTATAATTAGTCAATAAGAAACAGGTGCAAATGTGCAGCAGAGTAGTGAGCGGACATGGCCTCAAGAGAGATTTCACTCAGGAACCCTCTTTTTTGTTTTCTCTCTCTGTGTGTCTCCCTGTATGATTATTGTTTTCTCTCTTCCTGCTGTTGCTTTTTTGGGTTTGCTTGCACAGACCATACAACGCTTGGTCTTTTTGTCACACACAGAAGTATGCAGGTGTGAGCGTTCTCACACAAACAGACAAACACATTCGGGTCTACTTCTCACTGGGCACAGGCTTAAATATTTTTAACCTGATGTGTGTTCTCACCACCACGCACACAGGGTGCATGGCTTCTTTGAAACCTTTGTTTTGATGTTTCTGGCTCAGTTCAGTCTGGCACGTCAAAATACAACTACATGGTTTGAATATGCTCAGACGTTGCTCTAAGAGTGGATAACGTTAAGAAAAACCAGACAGACTGAAGTTTTGGTTTGTGTTTAAGAAAGTACTTATGTTACTCATGCAAAATCCTGAGTGATTTTGCAGCTCATTTACAAGGTGTCACATGTAAGCTAGCATGAAGTACTGCATGGCATCTGAATGGAAATGAACTTACCAGCTATAGTGTTGTTTGCTTGTTTTCAATGAGTTAAAGGCGCGTGTGTAAGCTCAGTGTGTGTGTGAGTCTGTGAGAGTATGATTGCATACAGACGGGCTGTGGTTTCAACACAATGTTCATCCTTTTTGCACAGCTTCCCATGAAACCACCCACAAACCCACGCGAATGAAAGAGACTATATTAAAAGCTGCCAGCATTCCTCTCAGACCGGTTATTCAAAATATTGAGTTTACCCTCTGACTTGTGCTACGAAATGGACAAACACTTACTGACTGCCTTTTCTTCCCCACAATGTAGATGAATGAAGTGAGGCAAGTAGTTGAAAGAGATGGAGAAGGGGAAGTGGTAACTAGGTGGACAAGTCCACCAAAGAGAAAGAGGGAGGAGATAGTGTGAAAGTGTTGTCAATTCAAACTCAACTTAAGAAGGCGCTACATATAAAGTATATAATTTCTATATGACATACTCAATTAAATTCTGCAATATCCAGAAAGTTTCCATTCAATTTCACAATCATTTTGATCTTCTTTGCAAAAGCAGTGACATAGAGGTTTCTGCATAGCTAAAAGTGATGTTTAGGTTTAGTTCATGTTGTCAACTAGACTTATCTGCCTCCAAAGTGAGCTCTCAACAACTCACAGTTGAGAACAATACAGTAGCTACTGTTTGAAATATGGAACTGGGTATGTTCACTGCTGCATGAACTTATTGTTGTAAATAACTGTATAAAATATCTTGATTATCAAACACATTAGTGCACATTCTTCTTTGTCTACTTACTGTTTCCCATCACATTTTCTCATGTGGTCTAGTCAGGTTAGAGGTGAAGTGAGGTTAGGTAGGAGGGTTTGAGTGCTGGAGGTGCTAGACTAAGTTGGAAGCAACTCTAGTGGCCTCTGCAGCTTTTCAGACAAAGAAAAAGCACACACAGTATGAGCAGCTTTACCTATCAGTCACTGGTTTTGTGCTCGACTGGGAAGCCACAGGGCTTTACATAGCTAACATTAAAAATACATGAATTTAATTCACAAATCAAGGCAAATATTGAATATTCCCATAATCTAAGATCCATGACGGTATTTCTCATCTCAGCATAATCCAATTACGTTTTTTCAACAACATTCAACACCAGTGTTTGCTGTTCTTATAAGGAATAAACTTGAAAATTACTTGTTGTTGACTTTTCATAATTTTTCCCCCCATAGCTGACAGCTGTGGACTTCTAGTCTAGTCTCTCAGACTCAAATCATCTCTGCATTCAGAAATACTACGTTGCTTTCAGTGGAGACAAACCAAGATAAGACGAGGTAAAACACAAATCAGATAGGTTATCGTTATACAAGAAGGAAGTACTTGTATTACTCAACCTACAACACGAGACTAAAAACTCTCCAATTTCCCTCTTGATTTCAGGTCTGTGTTGGTTGTTAGGCATTTTTCATCTACCATGGAGTCTTTGTCATCACCTCTTCACGAAGGCCAAGACAGCCATATTGTACAGGTGGAAAACGAACTGGTACGCAAGGGTCCCCGTCGCAAAAGGGAGTTCATACCTGAAGAGAAGAAGGATGCCCTCTACTGGGAGAAACGTCGTAAGAACAATGAGGCAGCCAAAAGGTCACGGGAGAAGAGAAGGATGAATGACTATGTCCTAGAGAGTCATCTCATGGCCCTGAAAGAGGAAAATACCAGGCTTAGTGCTGAATTACTGGCCATGAAGCTGCACTTTGGCCTGGTCCACCCTGCAGCCTACACTGCTCAACAGAGTGGCCAACTGCAACACCACGTCCACAGCAGCACCCAGCCTGTCACCAGCATACACCACCAGCCCCTGCAGAGGGACTACTACTGGGGTGGTAGAGACTCTTCTGCTATGCCAAGCCACCAACCATCTCACCCTGTTTTTGTTCCTGCATATGCCCTCCATACCATGAGAGGCTATTCATATTTGAACACATCAGGTAATACTGGCTCTGGCCTCCTCCCTCCCCTTGTCCTCCCTCGAAGTCTCCTGCCCACCCATTCAGCCAGTCCTGGAGCCCACCTGCTGAAGCCCATTCCTACAAGAGCCACCTCAGATGAGGAGGAGGAGCAGCAGGTCCCAGGGGTGTTGTCCCTATCCTGCTCTGCTCCGCCTCGCAAAATCACCTCAAAAGACAGAATCTACTCTCCACCAAGACAGTACATGTCCGACTGAGGGTCCAATACAGAAGGGCATTCTGTATAATCGTCAGATTGATTGACTGGGAATCAAATTCTTCATTTCTTCTTCACTATCAAACATACCTGCTGAAATTGTAACTTTAAGAGCTCTATTTTTGTGAATTAATGACACATGGTGCAAATTATGCAGATGAACACAACTGCAGTGCAAAAGGCTCCACACTTTCCAATATTTGTGTCACAGCCCACTCTTACGATTCTATGTGGGATGATCATTCACACTACAGCCCATAAAACGTTAATAAGCGGTTAAATAGAAGCCATTCAAGTTCACAACACTCCCTGCTGTGTCACAAAAATAGAGCTCTGAAGCTACTTCAGCTCTTCTCTGTGTGTGCTTTGTTCCACATGTCAAAGTTGAATAAATGTTCAACTGTGGGTTATGAATAAGATTCAGTACTCACTGATCTCAACTCACCATTCTTGCTCTAGAGGACTGTTAACTATGCAGCTACTCCAAGCCTGCAAACCATTACCTTTTTTTTTTTTAATTACATGTATGAATGTTGACAAGAGTTGTGAAAGAACTAGATGTGGGTCCATTGTCACTTTGTTTTGTTGATGGATAAACATTACTTGGTGCTAATGTACAATGTAATGTACAATGTACTGTTAACCAGCAATTGGAGTCTTGACAAGATTAAAGCTAGGGTAGGCAATTTATTTCAGAAAATCTTTTGTTATATTCGATGAAATTCTTTTTACATCCTGAGAGTAATGTTCTGACACCAAAATGAAATATATCCAGTTTCTGTGGCTGTAGCAGGACTGTAAGCATGGCCAAACTTTTTATTTGGGCTGAATGTAATCAATGACTGGCCTACCCGCCTGCGTGCACTCCACGTGTGCGCTCACTTCATATCAAAATGTGTTTTGGGGGAATGGCTTTGAAGGACTGCTTTTATGAGAAAGGGTGGGATTTTTTCAGTGGGATACTTTCAAAGTCTAGCTGTCTCTTGCTAGTTGCCTACCAACTTAATTGTACAATTAAGTGTTTTCCTTCTTTTTCCATACAGTGAATGCAATTGAAAAGACATGTCAATCCACATTAAAAAATGAAATAAAAGAAAATAAACTACAAAAATAAGAAAACATATGGGTTTCACCCCAGACTGACATTACTTACACTGCTGGCTACAACCTCCCTCATAATGGAAACAGTGAAGAATGGTGATGTATTTCTTTGGTTTTCCTGTGTGGGCAGAAGTAGTCACCTTCCTTCATACTGTGGCCACAATGTGTTTGAATCTTTCAAAATTTCAATAAGCTTGGGGATGACATTTTGTTTAATATATTTCAAATAAAAACATTAGAACAATTAAACTTAAGAATTGTGAACAAGGTCTTAGGATAATTCTTCTTTTTTTTTTTTACTGAAGGCTTGCTGGCTACAGTACTCAAAAAAATAGCAGTCTTTGGTCAAGAGACCGAAAACTATTGCATTAGGTTATAGAAATGATAACGAACTAATCTCTTCTTCCAGTTGGCATCTGCTGTTTCTTTCATCTCTTCCAGTCTATTTATGAGCCAGCAGCACCCCAGGCTACAGCAGGTTGCTGGCTCTTTGCCTGACAGCGCTGATGGCAACATTGCTGCTGGCCAGGCAAACAGCCAGTCCAGCTGGCTCAAAAACAAAGTCAGTGCCAACACAGAAACAAGACAGCAGCTGACTAGTGAGTAAGTGTTTTTGCAATATAACACTATTTTTGTTTATGGCCTGGAATGCAATAGCTTACTGTGGTTTTAACAATTAAACATGACTAGTGCAGCTGTTAATAGGAGGTAGAAGTGCCTATCGGCAAATCCATGCTAAGTTGTAGGAAGGGCCAACATGAAAAACAATTTCATTTTTATGGCACATTTGCTTAAAAATGAGAAGACAGTAAATAATTCCCATTTATTCCCATTTATTCCCATTCTTAATATTTTTAAACTGTGCACACAAAGTGGTTATTTGGGTCCATAAATTAATTATTTGTTCCATGGGAATACTAAATTGTCCCCTTAAATTATTAAATTCTTTGTTACGTTATCTACTTTATATTAGCATTAGAAACTTTAGTTACGGGTTGTGGATGTTAGTCTGGAAAGGTAACACCAGATGGCTAGCAGATATGTCGAATGCAGGTGACCTCAAATTACAGGTTTCATTTCCTGAAATTATTAAGATATTGCATTCAGTATTTGTCCTTTCCCCCTTAACCCTCTTTCTCATACAGCTTTTACTGAAAAATTACAATGAATTAGCATCAAGTACTTCACAGCGCCAACATCTGGAGCAAGTTACCTAAGCTAGCTCACAAAAAAATCATCTAATGTGTACAAACAGAACAAAGAAATGTAATAATGTCAGACAGAGATATGAGACAAAGTGGCCACCCTGGTCATGTTGGTCTTGCACTGAACATTTGAAAAATGCCTTTGTGTGCTTTTTCCCCAGTTTGGAAGCCTCCACTGCCTATGAATTTTTGTGTCTTCAAGGGCAAAGTTACTACTGCCATTAAAATGTCGCCATCTCTGTTTCACCCATATGGTTTTGCCTGTCAGCAAAGAGCTTCACCAGGAGGTGGCCGCACGGGGTCAGTTTATGAGTTTCACTCTCATTGCGCCCCAACAGGCCAGTAAGAGTCGCTAGTGCAGCTACAAGGACGAGAGCACCTCGCGGCGTTCTTCGCACCAGTGATCAGGCACACCCGGAAGTACCAAAGACACAAACTTGGCCAGCTGTATCATCTTTTCTGTTTCCTGCAACCTGCACAATAGATGGGGTTATACAGTAGGCCTACATTTCTCCTCCACAGTCTGGTCTCTCATCAAACTAGACTATCATATCCTCTTTTACAGGAGGCCTAGGCACTCAGCATTCAAAAGCGGTTGTACTGTTTAAACTATGTGTTCCTGAATACATTTAAACACATTATTGATTGTAATCTTTTTTTGTCTGATTAGTTTTCCACAGCTGATTGATGAATTATCTTTTTCAACTCATATATGTGCTGTCACTAATCTCTATGCACTGTGTATTATGCTTATTAATTACATTTTTTTACAATAAAGATTGCAATTTATATGTTACTTTCTGCTGCTTATGTCTCAATAGTTATTTCAGTCCTGCTTTGTGTGGTTCTTTAAGCAACAAATGATAATAAATACAACATGTCACTATAAAGTAAAATGAGTTTTCCTTATCCCTGCCCTCCTTTGTCTCCCACTGCAAACATGCTTGAATGTTATCTTAACCTGTTTTCATATGCAAATTAAACCCTACATGTGTGAGTTTGTCCCACTTTGTCTTATTTTGGTGTTTTATGTAATAATAAAATCACCAAGATGGTAAAACACTATTATCTCAAAGTTTATTTTCGATTCTGAACACTGATATAGCACCAAACAACTGTTTTCTATGTAGATATAGTGCAGTAATGTGCCACATCTGCTCTGCCTGTGTTGTCATCCCAGCCACTGGATTTATTTCAACCAAACCAGAGTTGGTGATTGTTGGAACAACAAAAATACTAATAAAGGCGGTTTTGGTGAGTTTTATTTTGTTTCTGTCGAGTTTGAATGAAGTATTTTTAACAGTGACCCGCGTATAATTATTGAACAATAATGCTGCGATGATGTGTTGAGAAGAAATCCGCTTGACACTGTTCTCGATCATAAAAGTTTATTACATCAAGAAGTTCAGCATCCATTACAAGCTCTGCAGCAGCTTGGAGAGTGACCCAGCCCGATGGCCACTCTGTCTCTCTGTACATCAAACACAGCTTATATAGGACATGTTTAGGTATCTGCTAAATACCATATAAAGGTCTGAGTCTGCAAGCTAAGGCTCCAATCCATATAAGAGCAAAGTTCTAGTGTAAACATCTTGTTGGACACCAGATAAGGGTCTGAGCCTCCATGTAACCACTGACCTCTGCTCTCCCCTTAATGGTCACTAATCCTCTATCCAGCTGCTACAGTGCTATGTTAAACTTTTATGCGTCAAATGCACATATGTTATACACCACACTACAATGTCCAGTGCAATGTCGCCCTTAGCCTAATGTTCCTTATTAAACAGAATTATAATGAGAAGACATGGCATTGGTCCAGTGTTGTTCCTGTTAAAAACAATCATATCCACAAAAAAATCTATATAGCGCTAATACTAGTTTCGCTTTTTGTTCCATCGCCTATTTCCTATGCACTATTCATATTAAAGCATATACTCAGTTTAATGGGTTTTGAAGGGGATGGAGACAATTGCAGGATTTAAAACGGCACCTGAATTGGCCGTATTCCTCCTAGGTCCTCCTAATATGTCTGTTTTATTTGGCTGTGTATAGTCCATGGAGGTAACGATAGGCCACGCTGGACATTACTGTAATACAAACTGGCTTGGCCTTGCTACAGAGCTGCATCTTGCTGTTGGCTTATTATAATGAATTTACATACATACATTTCAAGGGAATGTTGATAACTTTGGCTTTCTCAATAAAACTACTATTATCAAGCCACTACATATTTTAGACGTAGTTGGAATACATGTAACCTAGGTGTTTGAATGGTACTAAAACTTTGCTTTGTTTCACCATCATTGTTATCTATCTTAAGTAGCCACAAATATATTCATTACCTTATAGCTATGCATCCTGCAAACAGCTGTAAAAAAAAGTGTGTGTGTGCGTGTGTATATATATATATATGTGTACATATATATATATAGTAAAAATAAGTGATGTCCTTCTTTCACTTGCTTCCAAAACAAATGCATATGCTAGCCAGATCAAGACAGAAAGCTGTGGAAACACTACTAAATGAAAGTTCCTTGCAGTATCTTTAAGAGAATCTTGAGCTGGCCGGCGGGGGGGGACTTTTTCTCCAAGTGGTAAAGGGATCCCAGTACAGAGCAGGCATATGTTTCAGTAATCTAAAGTCTTACAATGATTAAAATATCCTTGCTTGTTTAACGTAATGTCTGCAGTCTGTAGCCCTAGATGATGAATCACATTCATTACACCAGTTCATAGGTGCATCATACCACATAACAACTTCTGTAATCAGTAGTCCAAGCAGTCTGAAGCAAAACTGCATTTATTTACACTGCATACACAATTATTAGGCAAATTATGTTCCGCAGGATTCATTCCAATCCAAAATATAATTGAATCACAAACCTGAATGTTTATCTAAGAAAAAGTGAGTTTTGTCTTGCTCAGGAGAATTCATTAGTGTGCAGAATTATTAGGCAACAAAAATAACAATAATGATGTCTATCATATTACCCATTATTTTCCTTTTTTTTTTTTAGAATAAATAAACAAAATGGCAATTAACTTTAAAAAAAAAAGGCCTTTCAAAATATTTAGTGACCATGCAATATACACTATATTGGCAAAAGGTTTAGGACACCCCTCCGAATCTTTGACTTCAGGTGATCCAAACACTTCTGTGGCCACGTGTATAAAAGGCATGCAGATTGCTTCTACAAACATTTGTGAAAAAATGGGTCGCTCTCAGGAGCTCAGTGGTACCGTGATAGGTTGCCACCTGTGCAATAAGTCCATCCGTGAAATTTCCTTATTGCTAAATATTCCACAGTCAACTGTTTGTGGTCTTATGACAAAGTGAAAGTGATTGGGAACAACAGAAACTCAGCCACGAAGTGGTAGGCCACATAAAATCACAGTGCGGGGTCAGCACATGCTGAGGCGCACAGTGCACATATGTCGCCAACTTTCTGCAGAGTCAGTAGCTACAGACCTCTAAACATCGTGTGGCCTTCAGATTAGCTCAAGAACAGCACATATAGAGCTTCATGGAATGGGTTTCCATGGCCGAGCAGCTGCATCCAAGCCTTACATCACCAAGTGCAATGCAGAGCGTTGGATGCAGTGGTGTAAAGCACGCCGCAACTGACACTAGAGCAGTGGAGACGTGCTCTCTGGAGTGACAAATCACGTTTCTCTGTTTGGCCATCCGATGGACGAGTCTTGGTTTGGCGGTTGCCAGGAGAACGGTACGTGGCTAACTGCATTGTGTCAAGTGTAAAGTTTGGTGGAGGGGGGATTTTGGTGTGGGGTTGTTTTCAGGGGTTGGGCTTGGCCCCTTAGTTCCCGTGAAAGGAACTGTCAATGCTTCAGCTAGGGCTGGACAATAAAACAATAACAATAATTAACAATATAATTTTTTTCAATGATAATATAAAAAATGTTCAATAAATATTGAGTGTTTTACTTTATTCACTTGAATCATACACGAAGTAGGACTTTCACAAATTAGAATTTTTTTATTAAGATGTTTATTTTGTTGAGGAAAAAGGACTTTACTTAAAGCTTTACTTAAATTTACTCATGCATATTTGTTGACAAAGATTTTATCATTATTGTTTTAAATGTTCTACCTCAGATTTGTGAAGTGATCCACTGTTCGGCCTCAAGTGCTGACCATAATTAACCATCAGGTTTCTACAACTTTCACTCAGGAGCAATAATCTGCCTTTAAATTCGAAAGAAATAAAGATTTGATACTTATCATGATAATTATCGATATCGAAAGATATGAAACTTTTTATCATGATAACATTTTTGGCCATATCCCCCAGCCCTACCTTCAGCATACCAAGATATTTTGATGCTCCCAACTTTGTGGAAACAGTTTGGGGATGGCCCCTTCCTGTACCAACATGATTTTGCACCAGTGCACAAAGCAAGGTCCATAAAGACATGGATGAGAGAGTTTGGTGTGGAGGAATTTGACTGGCCTGCACAGAGTCCTGAACCCAACCCAACTGAACACCTTTGGGATGAATTAGAGTGGAGACTGCGAGCCAGGCCTTCTCGTCCAACATCTGTGCCTGACCTCACAAATGTGCTTCTAGAAGAATGGTCAAAAATTCCCATGAACACACTCCTAAACCTTGTGGAAACCCTTCCCAGAAGAGTTGAAGCTGGTATAGCTGCAAAGCGTGGACCAACTCCATATTAAACCCAACGGATTAAGAATGGGATGTCATTAACCTTCATGTGCATGTAAAGGCAGGTGTATCAAAAACTTTGGCAATATAGTGTAGCTGCCCTTCAATAACTGACATGAGCCTTCCATCCATGGAGTCTGTCAGTTTCTTGATCTGTTCAACTTTCTCTAAATTAGCAACCACAGCCTCCCAAATGCTGTTCAAAGAGGTCTATTGTCTTTCCTGACTGTTAATCTCACTTTTGAGAAAATCCTGTAAGTTCTCAATAGGATTCAAGTCAGGTGAGGATGGGGGCCAGATCATTATTCAGGCAATTTTGAGGTCCTTGCTTGCTCACCAAGCAGTGGAGTACTTGGATGGAGGCATGTGATGGATCATTGTCCTGCATAAAGATCGTGGCCTTCTTGAATGCTGAGGACTTCTTCCTGTACCACTGCTTGAAGAAAGCATCTTCCAGAAACTGGCAGTAGGTTTGGGAGATGAGTTACAGTCCATCTTCAACCTGAAAAAGTCCAACTATCTAATCCCTAGTGATAGCATACCAGTACCCATCCTCCACCTTGCTGGCGCCTGACTTGAAGTGGTGCCTTGTGTCCATTAGTGATCCAGCCAAGGGGGCTGTGACTATTCGCAACAAAACATTTGATTGTCTGGTGGTCATGCCACAAAAGTTTAGCTATTTCAAGAGTTTTGCATTTTACAATTTTTGACTTTTCAGTGTCAATTAAACCTCTTTTATACCTATTTTACCTGACGTAAACAGGCTGCATAAAAATCATGCACACCTTGATATAAGGTGTGATTCACTTTCGCCACACCCTCCCACATTACACAAATACATACATATCACCTGAAAATGATTAACTCCAACGAGCATTGTTATATGGTTTGGAGTTTATAATTGTGCATAGAAATAATCATTCAATCAAAATACTTGCCCAATAATTGTGCACACAGTGTACGCTAAAACACAGACAAACAAAATGCTGAACCAGAATCAAAGACACTATCATACAGGCTGCATTATCATCTTTACTTCCTAATTCTTATCATTTCAAGTTTTAATTTTAAACTTACTCTTTTTTTTTAGCACCAAAAAGTGTTGCAAATTTTTTTTCCTCTTGCTCATGTTGACTGTGAATGAAATGTAAACTGCATTCAATAATGTAGTAGTTACGTTTGAAATAACACACCTGGATTTCAACATTGGTTACTGTTTGGTAACTTAACACTCTTAACGCCATGTGAAAACAAATGGCGTGCTTATTATAAAAAGACGAAAGACAAACTCTATTGATATAAAGTGTATC